CATGATTACGAGTGGCAATATTCATTAAATGGAGTGGAGCCACTGGTGAAAAAATAGGCAAATGACAAAGCTTTACTTCTGATATCTTGCAGACGTTTCTTATATTTGAAACGTCAATATTTCGAAAATTGTAGGAAATAATTATCACAACCCAGACACTCAGCCGGTTTTCGGCTGTCGGAGGCGTCACGAATAGTTCACTAACTATCGGCCATTTACATTTTTACAACTACCTAAATAACTCATGTTAGTGTAGAAATAATCACGTACTTCGGATCATATTTGTAACAGAATTGTAGCTAGATTATGACGTAATGTTTTGCTAACGTAATGACATTTCTCACCTCCCTCACTAACGCAAGAAATGTAGAGTCAGTGCAAAGTAAGCAACCGGAAGATGTCACAACCATCTCTAGAGTAAGAGTTATTTGGAAACTGCTGCGTCATAGAAAGGGTCGAGACTACTTCATGATCAGCATAAAGGACATACTGGATGTTTTAGAACAATATACGTCACAATGTCGATATTGTAGCACAACGGATTGAGTTATCAAATAATTAAATAACTTACGTCATCAATCCATAAAGCAACATAGAAACAGATTCAACCTTACAGTGGAGCTGAGGATGACCTGATGGTTGAAACGCGTACTCCACAGAAATTTATGGATTGATGAAGTAAGTTATTTAATTAGTATACGTCACGCACATGTAATTTCAAAGTCTGAGACCGTATGGAATCAAACATATCGGACCAGGCCCAGTTACCCGGCAGTCTGAAAGTAAATTTATAGCGATTTGTATCTCACTATGAGTCTCAAATCATCTCGAAAGCTGTTCGACTAAACAAATGAGTTAGGTTCAATGATGTTCAGCAGAATTAAAAATTTACAAGGTTGAACTACAAGGTGCTATTCTACTGAGGTAACTAAGGTGCCATTAAGGTATTATTCTTTGTTTGTTTGTCCAGATTATTCCAGGGATAATCTAATAAAATACAAATTTTCGAGAGAATTCAATAATAATACATACTACACTTTAAGCTATTACTTAAGCAACATAACTGGATATCAGTGTACAACGCAACAACAATGAATGACAAATTTTCCAATTTTGAAAGCCAGTTACGCCACATATTTGAGACAGCATTTCCATTGATAAGAAAGAAAGGAAAAGCAAAGTTCGCGTAGTTTTAGACAAAGAAATGAGACAAAAAAGGACAGAAATTATTGACCTATACAACCGAACAAAAGATCTTCCCTCCGAACATTACATGAGGCAATATTATCTAAGAATAAAATCCAATTTTAAACAGAAAATAAAAGCAAGGCTATATGGGATACAATTAATTAATAAAAATAAAAATGGAACACACAAACAAGGAACCCCACCTCCTTGATGAGAAAGGTTATTTAATTAGATCCATAAATAAGTAGCCGGTCGGTTTAATAATTTCTTTGTTGAGATTGGCAGCCAGTCAAATAAAAAAGGTTCATAGCAGCTGTACAAGTTATGTGTCAAATTACCTTTTCCTTTCCCCAAAACTGAAAAAGAAGTCGCAACTGAGATAAGGTTGATGAAAATTAAGAGTTCAGCCAGCACAGATGAAATATCCCCAAGGCTATTAAATGAAATAGGCGATGTAATCTTGACACCTCTGACTCATTTAATTATCTCGTCCTTTATTTCTGGTCAGTTTCCCGTCTCTCTGTTGTTAAGCCTATATATAAAAAGGGGTATGATCGTCAGTGCGATAACTACAGCGAAGAGCCGATCGAACAACGCAACGAACTCCGACGCACGCCCCGACGTAGCCATAGATATACAGGGTGTCCATAAAAAACGTTTCAGGACTTTGGGAAATGAATCCCCTTACTAAAAGGAAGAGAAAAGTGTATGGGAAGGTATGTCCGAAAATGCATATTTACCCAGATATCCGCCATTTTGTTTTTTATACAAACATATTTTTATCTGTGAAGCTTTTCATTCGATGATTATGAAATTTGGTAAACCCGTTAACATACACAAGACCTATAATAGAAAAAATAATAAAGTGGTTCCGATTGTAAATTTCAAAATGGCGGCCGTTTGAATTCTTCTAACTTAAATTACTCAAAAACGGCTAATTTTATGAAAAAATGTCTAGAATACTTTCTTTAGAATTTTTAACTCCCTATCAAACAATACCAAAGTCAAAAAGATCGGACAAAAGATAACTGAAATATAACGTTTTTTGTGTAAAGATAAGGCAAAAATTAAGGGTTCCCCAACTAACTTTGTCTTATTTTTGTCTTATTTGAGATATGTCTTCATCTATGGTAATACATCGATGGTCGACGACGGACACGAGGCAGAGACATGTATTGGCGGGATGTGCCTTCCCTTACCACAATAATTATTATTTTGGACGAGCAAAATTTAAATAATAAAAGGCAACATTTCATAAACTACAACTAGCCTAACAATTTTCGTAGATTTGTATGAGTAAATTAAAGAGGTTTTAAATTGCATGCCAATATAAATCATGTCATAAATGCCTCTCCAAAAATTCAAGACAACTAATTTATTGAATTTATTTAAATACGGTATACACAATTTGTTCAAGAAATTACAACGATGACATGCTATATGACATTTAAAATGCAAGAAATAAATAAAGTCACAAAATAATGCTAGAAATAACAAGAGTGAAAACTTGACATATTCCTTTTTTACCAAGCGGCAATGACATTTGACATAAGATAGGGTGAAAGGAACAATTTTGTTCTACGAACGTTTAAACATTCACAAAATGCTTTCACGTCTATGAAATTTGTATATAATAAATTGAAAATTTCTATAAGTATTCGATAACGTTCCTAAATTAAATAGGCACCCCCAAGAGAGGACTACTGAAATGTATTCAAGGACATTTAAAGTGGAGAGAATGGGTCTTTCCCGTTGCGTCTCCCGAACGCCGAACTGCTCAGTGATGCAGAAGTGACGAGGGTTAATACCTTATATTTTAAAATGGTATCAATTAGTTTAATCTGTGAAGCAGTAAAGGTAAGGTTTAGTTGGGTTAGTTTAGGTCATTCAAGATTAAGTTCAAGCCATCTCAAAGAGTCGGTAAGCTGAATAAACAAATATTCATTAAATGTTAATTTATAATTCGAAACGTAGGTATCATGTCTGCAATGAAATGAGTTTAAAATTAACGTAATTCCAGTACTTATTGTCTACCATGCTCAATTGGGCACACGCCTTTACCACAATTCGTTGCTTTTGTAAATTCCAATTCGGCTATCAAAACTGTCAGATTATACCAGATAGCCTGCTCGTCGCTGGGGAGACGCGGCGTTCGAAAGACGGGATCGTTCTTCCCTCCCCAAATCCCATAATTCTTCCTCCCCTCGGTCCATTCACAGACACGACCCTTGTTACAGGAAGCACCCTAATATCACATCAGAGGCCGACAGGTACCATGGCAAGAGTCTATTATATAACATTATCTTCCTGCACCGGCAGACCCTTCTCCTAACCTGTTCTACTGCCATTCGCCTCTGCAAGTGAAAGTGTCCACATGCTGCCTACCTGCTTCTGGCTGAGGAGGCGATAAAAGCATCTTATCCTTGTGCTACAAATACCGAAACAAATATTTACGATATCGTAATTGAATTGTTAATACCAGAGGCAGGCAAGATGTTTTGGTAAATAGATTTTGATTTGTGTGATTAACAAAACCCACAGTTCTGATTTTTAGCGAATTTCCCATATAGGGAATAAGCTATTACCGCAGTACTCATGGTAAGACCTGGACCCGGGACCGATTTACTTTTTAGTTTTAAGGTCGCTAAGTAGAGCCCAAAACCACCAACCGTTCAAATTCATATAAAACTTTTTGGTGTAAGTACAAAGTAAATTAAGTGTGATGATGCATATAAGAGGTTCCATGTCTAAAAATTGGCTTCCCAAAGAATTATTTTCAGTTTTTAAATAATAACTATGTTTTTAAGCTTAATAGACATATTTCTCAATTACCTATTATGGAATTTGAGTAGGCCTAGATAACGTTATTTTCGTGTTCTACATTAAATTTTTAATAAAAATAACAGAAAACAATGGAGGATTGGTTTAGGTCCTAGAATCCTAGACAAACAAACTTGATGTTTCTTTGATTTCATTTAACTTTGATTTAACTAGGCTAAACACGCCTTATTTTAAGAAATCAATAATCAATTAGCGATATAGTTTGTTGGAATTTCGTTTACGATAGTTTTTTTCCCTTATTGGACTATGTAGGCTACTTTGATCCTGTCCTGTGTTGATGATTCTGAATGATTTGTCTGCGAGTTAAAAAAATGAAAATCTTACACCTACCTACATCCAATAGGCAACGCCAATACAATGAACATCATCCTCGACTGTGGTTACTACTACAATACAAGTACAATAGTATTAGGCCCTAATACAGTACCTAATGCTGTAATGTCAAATCAGGGGCCCATTTCATAACAAAGCTTATAATTTCCATTAGATTTGCATTGGGCGATCAGCTGATTTACTAATATTAGTTTGTACTTGTACTGAATGGCTAAATAAATCATTTATCATTTACTTTATTATGAAAAGGGCCCCATATGGTTAAACTATTTTATTACCTATTTGTATTATACTAGATAGATAAACAGTTCTAGGGGTAGCTTACTCTATGGCTGATTTCTGATTTCTTAAAACAACCTTAAATTAACCATTATTGCCAATCGCACTGCAGTTAGCAATAATCGTAAAACTAAAAATTACTTTTCAATTATGCGCATAAACAAACAAATAAATATGTTTTTTCATTGACCTATGCATCAGGTGCCTAATGACGCATTAATTCATTAACATTTAATGGAACTAAGCATAGGCTACGATTTTTATCAGTCTATCGGTGGGGCATTGAAGAACGAATGTGTGAAAAATTACCCTCAGTTTCTCTTTGATAAATAATTATATTTACGGAAAATTTTACTTACTTTAGTCATGCCGACTCCAATAACATACACTTTGGGGTGCGTTCCAACCATTTTAAAATTTCCTAAAAGAATTGATAACACAAAATAACGCGAAACTATAACGATCACTGCCCGTGACGAGTGCTAAACATCGACTGACCGAAACCGAACTGAACGAAAAACGAATAGAAGAACGAACGAACTGAACTGAGCTGTGATTTACCAAGTTGTGTTGTTTGGAGTTTTGATGGGAACGAATGGCAGCACTGTCAGACCTGTTTGTCGTTTGGAGACTATTTTCATATGATACTATGTATTCATCCGCTACGTTATCTAAAATTTCCTATTTATATTCAAATAAGGATCTTAATTTTGACTTGGATAACATTATTATATTATATAAATTGTTGTTTGTTCAAACAATCTACAATTAATCAGCTTTATACCTAAATAACCCCTAGCCTCATTGCGGGACTACTTTATTGGATCCAATATTCCCCAATAATAATGGCCAGATATTGAGGAGTTTGGCGCGTCTCCTTGGGCCTTAGTTTATTATCAGAGAACATGAAGAAAGTGTAAATTATAAATCAAGCCAAGTACCTGTTGAATTTAAAACCAGTTTCAAGTGCCAGCAAAAATTTTGTATATACTTTTCCCGGATGTTCTGTGTGTGAATTGTGCATGTGTTTAGTGTCAGATTGCAAAACGCAATCATAGGCTAGCATAGCAGCCATCAAGGATGTATTCTTATAACAATAATAAACGTAAGCTAAATTTCACATTCTTTGAGTAAAATTTAAGAGGTTCTCTCTATCAATCCATATATTGATGGTATTACAAATAACTATCCTTAAATTTTTGTAGATCCTTTGTGATACACATGGCTCTGAATATAGCTTTCAGCTGTAAGTAGGTTGTAAGGACAAGAAGACCCTTCCTGCGTTGTTAGAAGAATGAGTTACGATTTGTTTGAGTTTCCGGATATCAGTATTGAATGTATATAACATTCTGTTGATGAATTTAAAATCCAAATTAGCCAACAACAAACCATAGGATATTTTGTAAGCTTCATATGCCATAATGTCTGGAAGGTTGTTGTCAGTTGATAGCAATGGTCTTGGTATCATCATAAACAAAATACCTATAACAGTTGTAGGCCTAATGTAAGTTTTCCAACTTAAATTAATCAACTCTTGACATCTTAACATGCAATGTGCATACATTACGAATACGTATAAATATAGAATCTAGAAACCTTACTTAGTGTGTTATTAGTTATAGTGATATGGTCTAAGTATAACTTATAGGCTGGCTTCTAGGTCTAACCTAAATAACATGGATATTGGTAGCTGTTTTTTTTTCAATTCCATCACTTAAAGGCATACTTCCTTAGGTTTCGTTTAAATAGAATGCCAAATTATGTTAGGCTATCGCTCGTATTTCTTTATTAGCCTATAAAATAGGCCTAGCCTAGATCTATTGCCTAATTCAGTCTAAGTTATGTAGGCCTACAGCCCAACCTCTGCAATAAGTAGAAGGCCGAACATTGAATGAAGTATTACGATTAACTTAACTAAACTAGGCTGTTAAGTTAGTCGGGTACAGTTTCTTAACTGGGCTATGCTAATATCAATTGAAACTATCGAATTGAAAATATTGATTAATAATCGATATTTTTAAATATATTTATTATCAAATTAAACTATCATAGGTAACCTAACCTAACCAACCCAACTTGCTGATGGTGAAAAAATCGCATGAAGGTTTACTAATTGAATCGATAGTTTCAATCGATGTTAGCATGAATTATTGTTTCCATCTTGTTTTGTTGTATGAATGTAAAAATGGAGTTGTCCGTTGGTATGTGAAATAAATAAATAAATAGCATAGCCCAGTTAAGAAACTGTACCCAGTTAGTCTGCTGATTGTTTGAAATTTGTTAAACTTTTGCTTCGGATCAACAGGAAACATAGTCTTAAGTTAGGTCTGGTTACGTTGAAATAGTTAGGTTAATGGCTGCACTTTACTTTAGGTCCTACACAAACAACCGAATGAAAATATCGATTATTTGATTGTTTCATTCCATATATCGTTCGGTTAGTTAGGTTAGGTTAACCGGTTACCTAACTAACCAAACGATATATCGAATAATCGATATATCGATCAATACTTTCATTCGAATGAGCGTAGGACCTAAAGTAAAGTGCAGCCAGGTTAATCTGTAAAAATGAAGTCGCCAATTGGTGAGGAGTAGACCTAACTTGTACCCTAGAGCCTATATGAGCTTTAGGTTTAAGTTTAACTTAACTTAGGCCTAAGTTTAATTTGTGCAGGTTAGCTTTGCCGTATTTCCGCTAAATGCCTAGGCCTACTTTATTGTTATTATTTTATTTTCATTCCAACGGCCAAAGATCATTACAAAAATTAGGCCTATTGGTAAGTTATCGATAGTTAAAATGTTATACAATTCAATGAATAGATATTTAATGGGAAAAATTTATGATGAATAACAGATCGTTTAAATTATCGTCTTCAGATTTACAATATTTCTAACTTACTTTGGATTAATTAACTTAGTCTAGGTAACACTGCTACATTGCCTAAATCATGGCCAATATTTTTGTGTATTCTTCAAGCTATATCCACAATTTTATGTTTATGAGGCCTGAAATTTGCCATCGAAACCACATTGCGTTGTAGCTAACTTAACTTAATGTCGCAGTTTCTTAGGTGGGTGCTGGTTTGTAGCATAGGTTTGTTGTTAATGTTTGAAATTCCAAATTGCAGATAAAGGTATGCTATTTGTGAATACCCTCTAACTTACTTACATAACTGCCTGTTTTATGGTACGTGTTTTGTCAAAATGCTGTAACTTCAGGATGCCATGAGTTAGATTACGTAACTTGGTTTCTAGCATGTAACTTCATTAACTTAACTTAAATATGTCACTATCTAACTTCATAAAACACCACCAAATCATAAGTTAGTGTGGGACTGAGAGTTACTGCCAGTTTGCTGGCTAATTTTGCTGCTTTTCATAATAGTAGGCCTGCTAGGCCTAGACCTAGCACATGCCGCTTATTCATAGCACATTTTCTTATAGCATGCAATTAGACATAGGCTACATCTTTGTATGGATGTATATAATCAGTATTCACGGTAAACATAGGATAAACTTTTTTATAGCCTAGGCCTACCTATTTATTTATTCCCAACGGCAAAAAGCCAATAGCCTAACTTAAACTATATTTTAACATACAATAATATTGCAAACAAGAAAGACCAATATACGTATTGCCACTCTTGTCTTGACGACTGTTGGCTTAGCTTGATCATGTATAGCCTACTATGTTTTTTTCCTTCGCATAAGTTATAGGCCTCAATCAAGAATTAATAATTTATTCACAATTAAATAGGTGTCGTCAAAGTATTGACAAAAATCAGCAGCTTATGCCTATTTTGAGTACACAGCCAAATTTCTATGTTGTTTCATGCTGTAGTATTCAATGCTAAAATTTTGTAGGCCTACCTTATTGTAGTGTACCGTAGTGTATTGTATGATTAAATAAAATAATATAGGCTAGCTAAATTTTCGCCTTATTACTGGTAAATTGCATCGTTAGCCCATTACTTAAAACCAATAGGCCTAACTTAATCTTTAAAAAATACCTAGTTATAGATCATTCGATGGCGTTTAAAAAAATTGAATAAGTAGGGCTTAGTTAAATGCTGAGTTAGTGAAGCCTACAGTAATGTTACTTTTAAACTTGCGACACTGATTTACCTCTGCACATTTTAGTAATTAGTAATAAGCTATCGATCCACTTAAACCTAGTTAATCAATCTAATTTTAGAATTTAGGTCTGTAGATCGTAAACCCTTGAAGGCTGATATAACTTAGTCCTCGTCTATTTACAATTTAGGTTGGTTTATAAGTTAGGTAGCCTATGTAAATCTGATTTACCTCTAAGCAATGCTATTTAAATCCTAGTGCTTGATAAAAACTGCTTAATTTTATCCTGCTTATTTTTATTTTCGGTTATTGTTGGGAATGACGTAGTATTTTGGCGTACTGGTACGTAGCCTATTTGCAACAAATTATAATTTTTCCAACATTTATGTAGATAAATTACAGGCCAAATGTTACAAAGGTGTCTAAGATGTCGGAGAATATTTTTGCTTTGGCACCGTAATACTGGAGTTGCTCTAGATCTCCCGTCCATCGTCAAACAAAACACCTATGTATTCAAATTTCTATTATGATTATTCAATGTTTTTAATAGAATCCTATTTTTATACTCTCTGTTGTTGAACCTCTGTCGGAACAAGTATATATAAGTTATCGGTGCCTATCAGGTCTTGAGCCATGTCCTGCACATTTGTCTTTTTCAAGGAGGAGAGGGTTGCTCACACTTGATTGGGTGGTTAGGAAATTTTTTCCAGCTCAATATTTTTTTGCTCAATACAAAATGCCTTTGACAACTAGGCATATACCCAAACCATCTTTTTAGCCCTTTGAGTGCCAACGTCCGGGGAACCGGACGTTTTTAAAACGAGCCAAAAGTGCCGACGTCCGGCCGACCGGACGTTTTTAGAACGAGCCAAAAGTGCCAACGTCCGGCTGACCGGACGTTTCGTAATGATCGAACAGTTGTCATAACAACCGAATGGATACTCGGATTCTTTTAACCCATATATTAACATTGAGTCGAAAGTTACTAGATGCGATACATCGATTTTCGTTGGTCGAAATATCGAAAATTCGATTTTTACGAAATTTTAACCTAAAAATCGCCAGATCGCGCTCGGCATTTTTAGCGCGACCTTTGGGAAAAATCATCGGCATTTTTTGAGCGTTTCTTTTATTTCTCGCCTGGCACTCTAAGGGTTAGTTTAGGCCTATAGGAACAAAAACAGGCTACATATTTGTATATATCGTTACATTGTTTCTTACATTTATTTTTTACTGGAAACATAATTAGTATTGTAGAACAATTATGAACTAACTTAGGCCTATATTCTATGCTAGGCTATAGTCTAGGCTTAATAAAGTGATACAAATCTTATTTATGTTAAGTTAGTCTAGAGGCACAAATTCTCTAAGGCCCTTTTACAATGCATCATAGGCTTTTCCTTTGAATTTATTTTAGGTTAGGTACTGTTTTGTTCCCTATTACCAGGTAGGCCAGGATATACTACTTGCCAATTTAATTTCAATGTGCCTCATGCTGTGCTATTATGCTTGAGCATTGGTATCCAAATGGGCTTTAAAGCCTTCATCAAATAGGCATAATACTAGTATAAGTTATAAAACATGAAATTGAGCCGAAATTTGAAACTCACTTATTTAGGCTAGTTTATTAATTTTAAATATAGGGTATCACAATCTTGACAATTGCTTGCAGTTAACTAGATTCATTTCCTTTTAGTCAATTGATGGTACTTAGGTACCGGTACTTATCTAAATCTGGTGTAATGATGTAAACTAATTTGAGTTTGAGCATGGTTTGTACTGTTATGTTATAGTTTTGTGATAAAAGCCAATTTAGAAACTTGTCTTTTTTTTGTTAATAAAGTATATCAATACATTTTTACTACTAAATAATGGTTTAAATACCTTATACTGTTAAAGTTATCCTTTGTAGTCTATATAGGCTACTGCAGTTTCGTTACCGATGGGAACTCCATCAGGCTGTCAAGGAAATTAAATTTCTTTCGAGAGGAAGGTCTAGACTGCCCTCCGTGTGTTTTTGTTTTTTGGACTGCCTTCCTGGTACTGGCGTTTTTGTAATGTTTATTTATTGATCACCTTTTTGTTTGTGTGTAATTAAATGAGTGACTTCGATGGATTTTAACTTCAACGACTTCCTCTGGAACGAAATTTTATGTCCTTGACAGCCTGATGAAGTTCCCATTGGGAACGATTATCATTTAATACTATACCAGTGATCCGGAGGCTAACAACATGAAATTTTTATTACAACTGGAGATGGTCAACGTCGAAGGCATGTTGCATGTTACAATCTTAGTTCTTAGACCTATACAATTAGTGTACCCTCCATTGCTTAAATGTTTGTATACAATAATTTTCTGCAATATTTTGACGGTTGTTATAAAACCTATCTGCATTAGGCCTAGGTGAAACCAACTTTAAGCTGAGCAGGGGCTTTGAAGATTTAAGTGCCCACTCTGAGATAGGCCTACATATCATACAAATTTAAGTTATACCTTAAAAGTATTCAATTCAAATATAAATAGCCTACACATGGAAATATTCTATATAGGCTACTTAAGTTAAGTGTAGGATGTTAAACGGATCTTAGGTTTTTTGTAATGTAGGTCACAGGTTGTACAATAAATTTAGAACAGCCTGCTAATTTACTGAATTCATTAGATATACCGTAATTATCATATGTGTTTTTGATCTAATGTGGAAACAGATGAATACATTGGCCCATTGATTTGATTATCCATCCCAAATTCAAATTTCATCAGTTTATTTTTTAATTATAGGCTAGGCTACTTATGTTGAGTGTCTTAGAAATATTTAGGCCTAATGATATTGATAAATCCACTGTAATACGTCACATTCACGTCAACTTTTTTATTATTTTAAGTAACTATATCTCGTATAGTACCTCATACAGTTGGCAATGTGTACATCAGCTACCTAAATCAGGGGCCAGATTTCTGAATTAATGACTACTAGCTGGATAAACCAACCTTTTTGAATTAGTTTTGTAAGTTTACAGTAAAAGCTGTGCTAAGTAAAACAGCTAAAACAGTACCTAGTTATTAATATGAATTTATTGTACAGTACCAGTTTTATTTTGACAACGCATATTTTAGTTAAGTAAAGTCTGCATAAGATAGTAGCTGTACTAGGTAATCATGCTGTGGAATTTGCCTTCATTCTTTCACATAGTTTTGGACAGTGATATAATAATCCTAAACTTACCCTAATAAACGTTTGATCACCTCTGGTCTAGATCTCCCATTAACTTATAGAACACCCAGGTTTTTGTATGTAATGTGTATCGTAGCAATTAGGTCAAGTGGGGTAAGTATACGCCCGGGGCAAGTGGACTTCCAGCTAATAATAAATTTGTTCATTAACCAAAAAATATGAAAACTTGGCCAAAGGTGGTACCTATTTCAAACTATGCTCTTTTAAATTATATTCACTAAAAAATTCTCTTGCTATTATTTCTATAAGTTTAGACGTGTTTAAGAACCTCTTAGGGTTCTGCTCAAAACACAAGTGCCTCTTGGAAAATTAAAAAAATTACTAGAAATTGAAATAGAAGGATAGGCCTAACTAACAGAAATTTGGTGATCTTAATAATTTTTTGAAGGGGAATTCAAAAATAAAATTTTTATAGCCCTAAAAGTCAATTTTGGGGAGTTAGAGTGGGGTACACGTACCCTGTGTGAAAACACGTTAGGGACAAGTGTACTTTTTCCCATGGGACAAGTGTACGCCCCACTGATAATTATGTAAGAATAAAGAAAACTTGGTTATCTCTTGCTTGAATCACAAGAAAAAACTTACACTTTGTATATAGTATTTTTAAGGTTTAATATAGTAACATTGAGGGCCTAAGTCAATTACAATTTAAAATATTAAGGTTTTAAGTTACTTCACCGAGTGAAGGTTTACAAAAAAACTCTTAACTTAGGTCAAGTGAGGAGCATACGCCCGATATCACATCTAGTACAACTTTGACCACAGATTAAAAAATACCCGTAGGTGCTATAAAAATAAAAATTTGCTGAGCTTATTCTTTGGAATGTTTTGTATAGATGTTATTTTTTATTTTGTTAAAAATATGAATTTTGTGTTTTTGAGGATATTTTTCCTAAAATGATGTTTTGGGTGTACACTTCCCCCTTGATCTGAGGTAAGTGTAGCCTAGAACCCCCCCCCCCCTTATTGTATTGTAGCTTTCCACTGCATATTACTTATGTTGGGGCAAGTGGATTGTAGAGGGAAAAATTAGCGTTCATTTGATTTTTTATTTATTAAAATATCTCAAGCGGTTCAGGACTTTATAGTAAACCTCCACAAGAGAAAACGGAAACCCCAGCTTTATTAACAATTCTAAAGAAAATAAAACCTTATGATTCCACTATTTCATTGAATTAACAATTACTAAGTCTCAAAGAGCATAAAATAAGCTTTATTTAAGTTTTTATTTGATTAAAATATCTTAAACTATAGGCCTACAGTAATAAATTTATGTAGTGCAACTAGTGATGTAAAATACCCGGGTATTTAAAACTCAGGGTAAATACCCTGGGTATTTACCCGGGTAAATACCCAAAATCCATAAATACCCGGGTATTTTGGGTATTTATGAAATCCATTGAAATTAATTTATATTCACCCCTAAATATGTTATTGTTATCATTACATGAAAAATTAGGATAGTCTATAACACCTTTTACAGTAACTTGCTTTGCTAGTACCTTTTATTTAATGATTTAGCACTTTTTTTTTAAAACAAAACATAGTTTTTAAATAAGAATGGGGTTTCGTTTTTTATCAAGACAACACCTCGTCAGAGAAATAGTGAACCTAAACCTACTTCTACTCTTATTAAATTATGATAGTTAAAAAATTTTATCGTATAAATGGCTTGGAAGGCTAGACAGACCTAAGGCAGAATGGCAGAATACTAAAAGTAATTCAACTTTTCTGTGTTACCGCTTAGGCCTAGTTGGAAAAAATAATATATTTGGATAAACCTACTAAAAAAATGTATCTCCTGTTTTTTGGTCTAACTTAATATAGTTTTGAAAGATTTATTGTGCTATAGATTTAAATGTTTTGTATCACAAGTTTATGAAATTAGTTTTTTTTTTTTTTTTTTGATACCATTGATACCAACAAAAGATCTAGAACAAAAATATTATTAACCTGCCATCCTACAGATTGAATTTTAATTATTTTCTTAAGTTGTTTACACGCCTAGGCCACAACTAGGTTAAATTTTCATGTACAGTATTTATAAATAATAATTATTACTAAGCAAATTATTTTTCTTCACTTTAAATAAAATAAATTCATCTATCCATCATAGAAATTTAAAAAATCATAAGTAGGTAGTCAGGACCAGTGCAACCATGCGACCAGGGTATTTATGCCGATTATGCTTTATGCTCAGACCTGGGTATTTATGGCGATTGTACCCAGAAGTAAAATGCTAGTAGTGACCATATGAAATTTTGTTTAACACATTTTATCATCATTTTACCATCCTTACAGGGTGATAATTGCAAAAAAACATCTCAATCTTCTCTAACTTTAATACAAATTATAAATACCCAGTTTTTGGGTATTAACCCGGGCCTTGGGTAAATTCCCGGGTAAATACCCAATTTATATTTACCTACCCACTGGGTATTTACCCGGCCCACATCACTAAGTGCAACAGTACAAGAATTAAGGTAATTTGATAAGGGTTTGATTGTTTATGTATCAGCTCCTAGAAGAATGCCTTACTAGAGCATCGCATGTGTGAGGTTGTGTTAGGTTAAAGTCCCAATTACCTGAACATACTCAACCTAACCCAACCTAGCACTAGAGCTATCGCTGCCCACTTCAACTTCTCATAGACGTATTGTGGATTTGAATTGGTGTAAATCAGATATGACAATAATAGTGGCTTAAACATACCTAGGCCCAACCTAAACGCCTCAGCCTATAATCAGCTCCTTCGTATAGCCATTTAAGTACCATAATGAATTTCAAACTGATGTGTATATATGACTGTCATTGTAGTACCGTACCTACAGACCAAATCTCTTGGCACTGTAAGCTAGCCTAATTGTTTCATACTCAGGCCAACTTTTATTATTTTTATGAATTTAGGTTGGTCTATAGTTAGTTAACCATTGAGAAATTTGTTGTAGGTACTGTTGAATTGGTTGGAACATAAAACAAGAACATTATGGAAGTATGATGGGTGTTCAAGTAGGCCCACCTACTCAACTGTAGGCCTCTCTGATGCTTCGTTTTGTTATTTATGGTAAGGATTTAAATTTTAAGTTATCAACATATATGTCAGGTATAGGCCTATTCTTCAAGTTATTTATTTTAAGTTCAATACTCCCTGGTGTGGATTAATGTCCGCACTAGTGAGTACTACGACTGTCCGTAGTATTATCCTGATAATTAAAGAGCAGTTCGTAAATTACAAGGCAAAAATGTGGTTCGGATTCTACAACTTAACTGTTGGTTCCTTAGTTGCCATTGGCTGTATCGGCTATTAATTAACAGTCCTGGCTGAGGAACATGGCGGCCTTAGTCAGTAACAAGACTACAAGATTGTGCCATTCATCTCCATTCATACTTGGCTTAAAATAACTGCTTCGTATGGTCGCCATTTCAGAAAAAAGTAATGGTATTAAGCTATTTCAAATGTTATTCATATTCATTAGCCTTTGTCATTGATCCTTTGGTAGAGGTAATAGATTTTGTAAAATTTTATTTAACAAAAATACACAAAAAACAAACAAAAAAAAACGGACATCATACAAACCAAACAGTACACAGGTACAAGGTGGACGGGCAGTACAAACATAGTTTATTGACTCACTTCAGATCGTTGTTAAGGCTCTTTCCAGCAGTGCCGTAGGCTAATAAGTTGTTACTATCATTAAGCCTTTCGATTTCCGATCCTCAAGTTATCGAATTCCTGGAGGCAGCTCGTTGAAGAACTTGATCGTGACTCAGGGAAGGGGTTGAGCATTCTGCTTGGTGCCGGGGGATATTGAGATCCTGCATAGCTCTTGTTTTATTAGCATGGAAATAGCTTCAGGTGTTTGGATGTGGAACACTGTTTTTAATCTTAGCATGAGGCACTCAAAGTTGTAGTGACTCCACTGTTAGAATTCCTATAAAAAAGCAATGTGTGAATGGAACCTAGGTACACCATCAGCAGGTACTGCTCAGGCCCGGTTCACATGAGCGACTTATCTAGCTGACTAGGTAAGCAGGACTGGGTAGCGGACCACAGGATCAAATGGAGGACGTTCACACAAGCGTAGGGCGATGGCGATCAAGCCGTGTTAAAGCTTGGTGTCACAAACCATCGTCAGGCCCCGCTTCCCAGTCAAGTGTTGCGACTCATTGCAGCTACCCTGTCACCCGCTTTTCCGCCATGATGGCATTTCCGTGACTGGGGGATAATGTCCAAACAGACGTGGGATTTTATTAGTGATTTTGCCGCGATCACGCATGACGATGATGACGTTTCCGTGACCACGGGAGACGATGATGACATTGCCGTGACCGCGGGAGACGATGATGATGTCCAAACGGCCGCATGATTTGTTAGTAATTTTGCCGCGATCGCACATGACGATGATGATGTTCAATTAGACGTGGGATTTTTTAGTGATTTTGTTGGATCCCGCATGACGACGATGACTTTTCCGTGACCGCATGAGACAATGATGTCCGATTTATAAACGGCCACGAGATTTTTTTATTGTTTTTCCGCCATCGCGCACGACAACGATTACGTTTCCGTGACCGGGGGAGACGACGATGACGTATCTGTGACCGCGTGAGACGATGATGATGTCCAGACGGCCGCGTGATTTGTTAGAAGAATTGATGATAACTCTTTTGCGATCATGGGAGACGATTATAATGTTTCTGTTACTGCTTAACAAGATCAGGATTTTGTCACGACCACGGAAGACAGTGGTGATGTTTCCGTTACTGTGGGAGATATTCAGGATTTTTCAGTTCTAAAATTGCATACTATGTGAAAGTACATGAAGACGGGTTGGTGTAGTAATCTTTACAGAAAATTTGTTCAAATTAAAATTATCAGTGTTAAGAATCTTTCGGTTGCCGGTACGGAGATTTTATCAATTTTTGTATCGACATATAAACATTTTTAAGAAGTTATTGTTAAATTCAGGTTTAAGGATAAGTTTTTAGTTTTCTGATTATTTAATCAGTAATATTGTAATGGTCAAATTTTATTAGTATAATAATTAATAAGTAATTTTATTAGCGTACACGTCGATGTCGGAGCGTGACTCATGTTGTCTTTGACAGGACCTCTCCTCAAACTACTGTGACTAAAATGTAAGATAAAGCGATACTGCCTTGAGGGGTAGCAGAGAGATACAAAAATTAGGAGATGATCTCAGGGGTATGTAGCATGCTAAGACAATAATAAAGTTCAGTCACTTGTAAGTGCCTAGAGCCTGACGCTTTTTTTATGAATGCATACAGGGTTCAAAAGGGGTTGTCTCATATTCGTTACTACAGTCATACCACATGGAAATAACACATAATTGTCGAAATTACTCTTTTGGGAGGGAAAAGCCGAAGCGAGGGATAGCTGAAGATAAGGAGATTAAGACTTGGCTAAAAGCAAAAACCATTATTTGTACAAACAATCACATATACTTTTAGCAATTGATATGTAAAGTTCATATTAGTTGGATGCTTAGTACATATGTAAAGTTCAAGAATGTTTTTTAAATTGAAATTATTATTGTAATGTACTAGTTATTTCTTTTGAAAAGCTCCAAAAGCCTAAAACTATCTAAAAACATACCATAATTGTATAGTTTTTACATTTGCTTTTTCCTGGTATACTTTAAAACTAAACGTAAATAAATGTGAAGTTACTTTATCACTCAACAGCTACAATTTTATTAATTTAAAACTATCACTTAAGCAACTTTGTAGAATTCATTGGGCGAGCCGATACATTTTTTTACTTCTTTCAATTAGTTTTAGGTCAGTTATGCATGTTTGATTGTTTAATAAGACATGCTTTTGTTTAAGAGGATTTGAATACAAATTTTAACTGAAATGAGAACAAATAACTTATAATTAATGTCCATTTGAAACCAAACACTATTCACATGACTACTCTGAAGATAATTTAAAGTTGATAATAAATTTACTTCTCCATTAACTATCAGGTTATTTTATAACAATCAAAGGTTTGTATCACTGTCTACCTGATTAATAATGTTCTCTTATACATATTGTTTTAGATCCTTAACTATCTCAAATGTTACAGGGATCATGAAAGGAACCCCCATGACAATGGTAGGCAGTAATTTAAGATGAACGGTGAAATTCCAAGTGTCCCTATAACAACACTGGCAGGCATTGCAAGCCTAACAGACTGTAAGTATTTAGGTTTACCACATTATTTATTTTAGTAGGCCTACAGATTGTTTTCAAACCAGGTATTCTTTGCCTTGAAAAAATTACCATATTAAAAGATATTACAGAGTAATTGAAAAGGATATATGTGAATACTGACCATTAAAATACAAAATAAATATTGAACGGAATAGAATAGTCTTTATTTCAAAAAATGCTACAGATAATTACAGTTTCGAATTTACAAAAAATAAAAATATACAACTTATACAAAGAGTATAATTAACATTATATTACAAGCATCCTGGAAATATAGGACCTCTGAAGGAGAGCCTGTAGGCCTGTAGAGGTTCCATAATTTAAAAATAACCGTAATACATATCGGTTACATCAGCTTTCTACCTTGCCTAAAATTATACAACTTCAGCTTGTCCTTCAGAACAACTGATTTGAAATCCATAGTCAACCTTCAAAAAAGTGATGCCATCCAATAAGTTGTGCTAATCCATAATTTACACTGGGGCTTACAAAACCCAAATATAGTGTGACAGTTTATTGGCATATCCCGTGACTGGTAAATTTGATAAATGTGTAAAGGAGTGATGATATACTGTACATTCTTAAATATATTGGCACGTGGACTAGCCATTGATACTTATGAAAAATTCAACACTACACAGAGTCCCTCTAATCCTCTAAACTCTGTTAATCCGAACCACTTGTTTGGGAGAAAGTTTAGGTTGGATTAAAAGGTATTTCAATGTTAAAAAAACCATGCCGGAACATTCTTCACTACCTAGGATTACAACACAGCAACTTCCATCTTGTTGTGCCACCCTCAGGAATCAGGACAGGAACTTAATCCTCAAGATCAAATTATTATGATCCTTAAGATTTTCTTCAAGATTGTTCCCTGGAATTTCCCTTGACCACTACAAGTTACCCAGAGGGATCTCATCCGTATTCTCAACAGGTCTGTTTCATCATCCTCGCACACTTCCTGCACAAGAGGCTATCAACTTGAATATCCATCATGTTCAGGTGGCCAAGAAAGACCTAAGGGCTAATAATGCCTACCGCCTTCCTCAGGCACTTCCTATTATATAAGGCCTCAGATGCTACTGCACCAGTTGGTGCTAAAAGCATCCTCTTGGACTGAACATTGCCTTCTGTACTCTTCCAGTGCTTATAACATTCTTTATTCATCCACTGACGACCCACTTGGTGCGATACGCTGTGAGCCACGCCACTTTTCAGTTCTGGGCCCAAAACAGGGTTTCTGCTCCCTGGTTTGCTTACTTACCTTTGTTACAAAGTCTCTGAGCCCCACTTAAGAGTGAACCTATTGTTTTCCGCCAGAGCTTTCTCAGATAATCCTGTTTTAAATGCTGACAGTGCATGTCTTATCAAGATCTGATATTTTACCATTCTATCCTAGGTCATTTCGAAAGTATCCATCAGGAAGATGTCCACTATTGTTTGCTCAACTTAAGCATTTTTACTAGTTACCACTGCAGCTAATCCTATATACCACCAAACTTGCTTTCTCTTTTACAACAATTCCAAGAATCGGGAGGTTTAGCTGGAAGCCAACATAGCTATAATAGATAGATTTCTCTATTAATATGGAAGTCTACAGCTGCTCTAGAGGTTTCAAGGCAAGCCACTCAGATCTTCGTAGCCTCTTTACAGCAGGTGTTTGCAACACCTTAGTCCACCATACCACTGATCCTTATATCATGTTTGGCCCTGCAAAGCCTGGTGGTCAGTTCATCATTGTAGAGTCTTCTCTATGTCTTTCCAACTGTCTGTCTCATCGTAATAAGTGAAGAGACATGTGACTTTTTCCCCATGTCTTACAGTATTGTTTCAAATCGCCCAGCACTTGTATTGGGTAAAGCTCCCAATGGGTAGTAATAAGTGGTTGATTGAAGTTTAACTCTACTACCATTAATATGTTGGCTGATGAACTAACCATGGATGACCATTAGACATCCTGCACTACCTACTTGTAGTTGATTAGGCCTGATCAGTATGTTTAATCAAGGTTTTACTTTACCACCTAATATTTGTACATAAACTAGACATAAATGATCCGTACTACCTACTTGTAATACATGAGACACGCTGTTTGTATTGCAGTGCTGCCGGAAATGCCACTTCCCTCCCCACTCCCCCAGACCCTGAGTAACAAGTCGCTACTGTTTCATCCCCGTGTTGCCGAGGAGGCGCACATTTTATTGAGTTTGCGAGATGAAGCTCTTGTGCCCCAGTTGGTGCAGTCTTTAGCCCAAACCTCCGCTGATCACATGTAAGTATTATCTTGTTTTGTTTTACTATGACAGCAAATATTGTCAAACATCAGTAAAAAGTAGGGGTGTGCGAATATTCAAACTTTGAACTTTTTCTAATCGAATATCGATTTGAGATATTCGATTCAATTCAAAATTTTTAAATAGGTTCGAATCGAATATTTAAATGATCGGCCTACCATTTAGAAGTAGAATTATTATTCCAAATTAAATGATTATTTATATTGTTTCATAGTTAAAGTATATTAAATAAAAAATAAAGTCCAACTACGAGTTTACTGTCAAGAATACGTAAGATCGGCAGAATATAATATAAACAACTGACACGACACGGGCGCGGCAGCTCAGATGAGTCTAATCCGAATCTCGAATCCAGTGAATCCTAAGAAAAGGATTCGAGAATCATTGACAGAATACGCCGACTCGCCGCCACCCGTAAGTTCTATCTATAATAATGTGTAGCAGCACAGCAGTAGCGAGTAGCAGTGTCAATCTACGCATAGCGGGAACAAAGCCAAACTCGGTCTCAAAACTTAAAAGGCCATGGCTTGAATTACGTATTTTAGTCGAATATTAATTGACGTATTTTAATAGGAATAGGCCGATAACAGAATTTCTCAATTCGATACCAGTTCTGAAATATTACTCACTATTCTCGATACCGAATAGATTAAGAAATTTGCAGGATTTCTAAGATCTTCATTTACCTTTGAAAGAGTACCTATGTACTTAATATTTAACAACCCCTAGGTCTAGCCTGAAGTAATGTGAAAAACAATCCCGGGCTTGTGCCTAGCATCCTAGGGGAAAAAAAGTTTAAACTCGGAAAGACTGCAGTTCATTGTTATAGGGCTCATGCTGTTGAATCTGTGTTTCAATGTGCTCATTGTTATTACAAAATTAGCAATTCATGAATGCAGTTTAAACAAGTCACCCTACCCTCTACTCTCTGTGTATTACTATTACAGCAAAAACAATCAAAGTAGAGGTTAGTTTAGTCTGTGCTGAATACATTAGACTGCCTTCCCTTAGGACAGATGATGTAACTTAAGGACAACTTTGTAATTAGGCAGACTTGGATCCTTGGAATAGCAAATCTCAGATGAGAGCATACAATGATTGAACACATGAAGACAAGTAAAATCAATGTCATAAATTATCCGATTGTGTAATAGGCCTTAAATGTTGTCCTTGGCATACAATTTAAGTAGTAAGATAAATGTCAGCTGTACGCTGACTTATAAGGACTTTGTTTATTTATTATTTTATTTATTAAATAAAGTTTAAAATATTTAGCCTTGTTGAACTTCAACAATTTTCCAGATTATTATGTTTGGTGTTAAAAATATTTTCCATTTTCTGGATAATATACTCACTTGAGTAGCTTGGTTTTTCTATTACAGTAGACTCCCTCTTATCGGGACACCCTTTAACCGGACATCGGTTTAACCGGACTAAATCGGCAGGAAGTGTGCTCTACTGAAACGACTGTACTCATGGAAAAGATTTCAGACCAGGGATCACGTGTTTAAATTCAATGCTCTCCTAAATTTTAGTCAAATACTGTATACAGTATGCATTCAAACTGTCCGTTTTAACGAGTTTTTGGGGACATCAGTTTAACCGGAAAACGCGTTATCCGGACTGGCCTTGGTCCCGAGGATTCCAGATAAGAGGGAGTCTACTGTATGTAAATGATGTAAACATTTCAATGTAATTTGTCCATTCTTTTACTTATCATGTATTTTAATATTCTTATGACTTTTTATTCTTACAGAGAATTGAAGGACCATTACACAGGGACAGAACCTCCAGTTGAAGAACAAAATACTCCAGAACTTCTTAAAGCAATTTTACATAGGAATCCACAAGTGTTCAAAGGTCCTGTAGGTGAGTTTCATTGTTTCAGCATATTTCTTTACATGTAGCTATTATCATAGACTTAATGCCCCAGTGTGGTACCCGGGTTTAGAATGGACAGCAGTATTCCCTGCTTGTTGTATAAGGCGACTATTAGTGGATGGCCAGAGGATCCTGGAAGTGCCCTGTTGTGTTGCAGGGGCTGATGTGGGTCCCACACTGCCGATGGGTTTCTTTATCTTGTCGTCAGAGCCACCCCCTTCGAACCCTGGTCAGGGAGTGCAACATGAGAGGGTGGTTTCTACTCTCTGGTACAGGTGACCCAGTCCAAGATCTTGACTGCTACATATCAGCAGATGAAGTTAGCTAGGTAGTCAGGCAGTAAGCGCTTTGGGAAATTAAGGTCACAGTGGCTGCTAAGAACAGCTGAAGCTAGCAGTTCTAGAGCTCTGGGTGTGAGATGCCACTGAGCTTCTCCGAGTCAAAAACCTTGAGGGGTTTTGGGTCCTTAATAGAGTTCAACTGATGACAGTTTTCACCTGCTTCTAAAGATGTTTGGTCGTTGTATAAAGTGTGGCAAAAAGGGGTTATTAACACGTTCACTACTACAATAGTACTACATTTTTAATTCATATATACCAGCGACACACATATTTGATGGACGGTTTCTACCCATAGACTGGTCACATTAAAAATAGACTGACGTCGCATATTTGCATTGGTGTCAAAAGCTTATATCTTCGTAATGGTCTATTTGAAGGCCCTGAATTTTCTGCAGTGGTCTACAGGGATGTCTGTCGCATATGTGCGTCACTTGGACTGTGGATTTCTGATTAGTGACGTACTGTTAACCAAGTGACACCCAGTCCATGTGTAATATTAAAATTTATTCCACGGTCCATGGCAATGACCGCAGTGTCGCATATATGTGGCAATTGGTAGCGAACGTGTTAAGTCAAATCACTGGGCCCCAACAAAGTATTTTGTCTGTTCAGAGCGCGTACCCTTGGACGCGCGTACTCTTTGGAGCGTGCACCTGGTAAGAAAGCCTATTTTTGTCTTCGAAGATGCTTTAGAAGATTCTCGGTAAAAGAATAAATAATAAATGAATTTTTTTCATGATTACCACCCCAAGAGTATCCTTGAGGACAATCTCCTCGACCAACAAGTTAGAGAGTGGGAATGGATATATTTATTATATAATAAGCAATATTGCGAACAAAACAGTCCAGGCTGGTGCCAGGATACCTTGGGCACCTAAGCTAACCGGATTCTGGATCAACAAAAATTCCTGACCCTCAGTAAAGGTGTCTGGGGGTTCGTTTGGTTGATGGGAGTTAGTTTCACAGTTGTGAGCTGCTACTTCATACCGAACGACCTGATCAGCAAATTTTAGGCAAACCATGATTTCCTAGAGGACTTCCTGGTAGAAGCTGGTGGAAAATTTATTGTCACTGGTGATGTCAACCCCAGGGCAGTTGAATTAGGCGTGCTGGAAACCGACACCAGAGGCAGGAAGATTCTAGAGCTGGTCATAAGAGCAGGGTTTTTCCTATTATGAGGCTGGGGTATTAGGAACTATCAATGATGGTGACGGTTGCAATTTTCCCTGCATCATCAGCACACCATATTCAAAGTTGATAATACACGTCAATCGGTTGCCCTGCAGTGTTATGCCTACCAGGCTTGGTGGTGGTGTTAGCAAACTCAATGCCGAAGCGCTGGCTGGATCAAGCTGGAGTCGTATTTGAGACCATGATGCAGCTCATCAGCTGTGTCTGCGAACTAATTCATGCTCTGGAAGAATGTTGCCTTTCTATTGGTGGACTGGGGAGATTGCGGAGCTAACAAGGGTTTATCTCGGATGCAGACGTCAGTTGGTCAGAGCCAGGAGAAGGAGGCCTCGAATCTGCTCCTACTGCTATTGCCAAGCAGCAATATGCCGTAGTCTTTGTGCCAATAAAGTTTGGGTGTCATAACCAGTGTTATTCTAAGGAATCTTCACTCTTATTTGATTGATTCATAAGTTAAATTTAATGTTTTTTAGCGAATTTCCCATATAGGGAATAAGCTATTACCGTAGGTCTCATGGTAAGACCTAGACCCGGGACCGATTTACTTTTTCGTTTTGAGGTCCCCAGAGGCCAAAAACACCATCCGCTCAAATTCATATATATATATATATATATATATATTAGGGATGGTCAAGTCTCGAAATTTCGGGAAATTTTCGGGAAATTTTAAATCTCGTTACACAAGACGAGATTTCTTTTTGGCCGAGATTTTTATCGAGACGAGAATAAAAAAAAAAAAAAAAAAAAAATATTCAAAACGCCTGCAGAAAGTCAATGCAATACCCGCAATACAGGAGCGTGTTGTAGTTGCGTTTCCTTTGCGAAGGCGTTCTTATTGAATTAATTCTTCTAATGTAAATATTACTTTAATTATTTTAATAACATTTGAGAAGTTTTGTTAAGTGTTAGCAGTGTGAGGAATGTTTTATTACTATAAAAAAAGTCAAAGCAAGTAACTATTTTATAAAAATTCATATTTTATTTTATGATTTATTTTATTTTAGGATAAGTTGAACTCTATCCTAACTGATATCACTATGTTTCCTAATTGTAGGCATTTTTAATAAGTTAGGCGTGATTAATAAAAAAATGTTATGCTGATGTTTTTTAATAAAAGATTGTAAATATTCTTGCATATTATCATTATTTTTGTATTTAAACAGTCATCTAACAATGTTACAAACTTAGGTAAAAATTCCGAACGTGCATTTCCCGTTGTGTATGAGACGGGAAATCCCGTCTCGATCTCGTCTCGAAATTTTATGAGAAATACAAAATCTCGTCTCGTCTCGTCTCGAACTATAAATCCAATCTCGTCCATCCCTAATATATATATATATTTATATATGTGTCCGTTAGCGCGATAACTTGAGCAAATATGATCCGATTTTGATGAAATTTGGTACAAACGTGTAAACATACGTTTATTCGAACGAGTTCGCGAACCAGCATAATCGGACGATGGGAACAGGGGTTTATGGGGGGTTTTATGGGGTAAAAATGGGTTTTCCCATTTTTAACCCTAAAAATAAAAATTTTTGCAATTTCTTTCTCAACCATTTTGTAGAGCTTAAAAAAAGAAATAATTTAGTATATTGAAGCGCTGTTTTATGCCTAACGGTCACGGAGAAAATAAAAAAAGTGTAATTTAAAATTCCCATGTTATTCTTATGGAGAAAATGAAAACTGTTGTAGTTTACTTGTTTATGGATGTATGTTGATAAAATTTGGCAGATTTATTTATTTCATTCTATAGTATTGACATATGGTCAAAAAACACTTTTTACCTTCCCCGTAGCAGCAAACCTAAGCACTGGTAAAATCTAATGTTATTTAAATTGGGAATAAATATGTCTTATTTATGGAAATATTTTAGTAAAAATGAAATCAGACAAGTTGAAATTCGCTTAGTCTGCAGGTTTGCTGCGGCGGGGGTATTTCTTCTATTTGTTGAGCTACTGACTGTCTCCTTACCCTTTCCTCTACTTTATTTAGTTCAATAATCATATGCAATATATTTTGCATTAGTCTAAATATGGATACCACACTCAAACGATTGCTTCTACTGAATGCATGCTATCTAATAACTCAATTACTTTAATGGGTTCAATGCTGAGTTTACCCTCAACAATATTTCATCTGATGTCGTATTTTCTGAGTTTAGAAAGTAAAAGAATTTCCAAAATGTTTATTTAAAACAACTGACTGAAATGGGAACCTGAGTAGTTTTTTTGACCAGCAGTGAAAGCCATCTGAATTTGAATGGACCGCAATTTGTAGCAATTAACTACATGATTTTATCCAGAACAGTTCATTGTATAAAGTTTATAACCATTTATGCAATAATGTGGATGTTGTCTTGGTAATATATTCAACAACACATATAGTTTAACAATAAAAATCATTTCAACTGTTTAATTTAGCTTGTGTTTTTATTGCAGTTAATTCTGCAAGAGGCCACAGTCAACCGTCAACAGAAGTGAACCATGCAGCAACTGCTTCTCGTCAAACTCCACAACCATCCCCAACACCAACACCCACACCCACGCTTGTGTCAACACCCGCTCTTACACCCACCCCTCCTGCTAACAGCAATGTCTGTGATAACACCCGGAAACCTGTTACGCCGCGAATACTGAACAGTGCGAGTGCTAAGTCTTTAGTACAAGAAGTGAACCAAGTAAAACCAGAACTATCACCCTCTACTGCACAAAAATCTGTACTGGTGCCTCCTTCAGAAACAAGTAGCTGTGTTGCGACCAATGGCGTCGTCACTCCGCGAAGAGAGAACAACATTACTCCTCCTCCAGCTTCCAGCATACCTCGGGCCAACCCTCTCTCGTCAAGCTTGCCAGGTAAATTGAAGATTAGAGTGTGATAACACTCGACCTTGGTAAAACTGGTATTAAGGCCACAACATTTTAAATGCTGTCAAAGAGTTGTAGCTTCGTAAAAGTAGCAACCATTTCATTGCAGTTGTCTACACATTTAACGATTCTTGTCCCAGCAAACTAATCTTAAACCTATAACTAACTAACTTTCTTAATGATGATCAAAAACATGTAACACCAACTAATAGATGGTGCATTTAAATCTTGATATATTTAGTTGTATAACAGGATCAAAACTTTTTATAATTGTATATTGGCAACCAACTAAAGCATTGTTTAGGTATTCTTGGTAAAGGGCTCTAGGCCAGGTAGGTTTGATAGGAAAAAACTTACTTGTACAGTAGGTTAGAGTAAAATGGGAAACACATACAAAATTGATGTAGGTATTTCATGGTTACTGGCCACTTTGTCAATCACAAAGAAAGGAAGATTATGGTCAGTTTGAATTTTCAGATCTTTGGTCTTTAATCAAAGGTTTAGAATGATCTATGATGACAGGGAGGAAAGAAAGACAGAATAAGAAAAATTGCAGGAAGGAGTAAAATGTATTTACGAAATACCTTTGTTTTAGTAACTAAGAAATAGTAAATAACTTAATCTATTATGTTTAATCGACTGAAACAATTATTCCAAATATTTCTGCTCATAATTTGTATCAAACAAGTTTAGGTTAAGCAATTAATTGTTTTTTCCCTCTTCCCCTTTATGACTGTATATTTAATATTTATTATTTATATTTGTTAATTTAGTTAGACAACTTTACACTATGTTTTCTGAGGAAAATTACCTTTAACACGTTGACTGCTAACACCGACTCTAGTCGGCGTAGCTAGCACTTCAATGTGGCGCGCGCCGACAAAAGTCAGCCAGGCCAACAGAAATATATTGAGTCAGTGTGAGCTTAGCCTCAGACGGAGACGTTATAATCGTTGCCAGCCTGCCAGCTTAGAATGCGAGCTTTACTTTGGTGTAGGTTGGTACTAAAATTTCCCGTAAAATCCTGTCTGGCAATGCTGTTGTCCCGGTTTCGGGGATTTTTTCTCTTCAACCCACATTACAAAGACACTGGATACGGATCCGTGCAGTGCTGCTACCTTTGGGTGTTTCAGTGAACTACATCCACTCTCGGGGTAACGCAGCACAGTCACCACTGCTATTTTGTGATTCGTCAGACTGAAATATTTGAATGCCAATTGCGTTCGCTGATTCGGTTGCGTGCCGGGGCTTTGCCAGCCACTGGGGAGCGCCTGTACGTTGTTTTCAGCAGTCATCGTGTTGAGGATTAGACTCATGAAAATATTGCAGATGAAGTATTCTTCCTCTTAACATTATATATGAACTTATATTGTTGTCACATGTTTAAAATAACAAATGAAACGGTTTTGTTAAAATATTGTTCTGAGGAAAAGATTGTTGTTCGTGAAAGAGATTGTGTGTTCTTACTTGTTTTTTTCTTTTATATACAATGATGAAATTCACACATAGAATGGTTTTGATAGCATTTTTGCTTCAGAATTTGTTCTGTTGTTTTCTGATGTCATCTGGCAGATGATTTTCAAGTTGTCAATAAAGGAGTGTTAGTTTTTAAAGAGGGCATTATGATGCTCTATCTGCTGAAGATAAATGAGGAGTTGTCATCAAAATCATCAGTAGGGGCGACCTTGCTGTCTGATGTGTGTCAGCTGCTTGGGTTGTTTGCTCTCCCTTGAAAAACATCTAGAAACCCAATATCTGCAAGCTTGAGGAAGAATAATTGCTTTTCCCTCAGTCATCTTTTCAAAAGAGTCAGCCCTAAACGACTTTAGCTTTACTTCAAAGAGCAGAGGTTCAGCAGTCACATCCTGGAGACCCCATTTTCTGCATACTGGGTCGCTCACAAATACACCCATTCTATGCATATGCTTTCTAAGGTGCCAGTGTCCTGTGATAAAGCCTGCTATCTTGTTGATACTGCTAAAGACACTAAGTATGCGTTTGCTCATCTTATGACCTGAGCAAGCCTCATATCTCTTCTCGTGTTCATGGTGTGCCCAAGAGTTTATAACTTGCATTATCGTTTTCTTGGGAATGCCACAGTATGTTTCGAGTCCTGTGAAATTTGCAGATGAACCCTTGTTGACTAGCAGATCTGCCTTTTCTTTACCACCAAGCCCAGAATGTCTGAGAACCCGGCAGATTGTGACTTTTGAGCTCCCCTAACCTGCAGATGGCTTCAAAGAATTCCCAAACTAACATTGACCTAAACTGGCTTTGAGGGCTGCTTGGCTATCTAAAAAACGCATATTTTCTTGTCCCCGTAGCCAAGTATCATGATTTCCACATTCCTAGACAGCAATTATTACCGACAGGAACACAGAGGGATACCAAGAAAGATGCTGATCTCTCTTTTAGGCGTCTTGGTCTGCATTTCTTCCCTGGTTCTACTGGTTGTTTTAGATGCGCCTGTAAACCATTTGAGCTCACCTTGTTGCTCACCTTTGGTAATAAGCCATTAATCACATTGTGGATTTATCACAATGCAAGGCTTTGAAGAGGAATGGCAAAGCTTTGTCTGGTCGGAGCTCATGTCCAGGAGGGGTTCGCCTTTCACTTTGAAGGTGGTGCTGGTGTGCTTATAGGTGTGTGACCACACCCAGTCCCTCACATCTGAGGAAGTGTGAACTTTTTCTCGTTACTCAAATGACAAACACATCTAGTAGCAGACGATCCAAGTAGCAGTCCAGAGAGGTACTGTAAGTGCTTCTCATGGCTCCTGTCACTGATAGACAGGCAAGCCTCTGTGTGCTCGCCAGTCTGTCAGCAGCTCCACCAGACCAGTGAACCATAGGTCATGTATGGATGTTCACCGTTTTGAGTCTGAAATAACGAACCCCTTCGATTATATTGCAGTTATTAAGAATTAAGATATCGAAATAACCCTAGTCAGTTATGAATAATAACACGTAAATCATGGTGGTAACAACCATGTGTGAGGTTTGTTACAAAAGAAACAGATGTTTTCAAAATAAACAAACTTTTAGATTTTGATGTGTATGATGTTAAATCCTTTAAAAAAATGTATGGTAGTTTGAAAACCCAATTCTATACCCTCTATCTCAATTTATCACCCTTCTCCACCTAGCCCCTAACTTCATTCTGCAGACCCTTCCTCTATTTCCGGGAGTTACAAGTGTACTTAACGTTTGCTTGCTCTTTTCAGACTCATCGCCAGCACAGGCAAGTATGGCTCCTGTACAGGAGAACAAAGAAGCAATTTTAGTGGTGAAACCAGAAACGCCGATCTCAACACCAAAATTGATGGAGCCCAAAGTTATGCTCAATAGGATAAGACCTGAAGATCCATTAATGAAGAACATTAAAGAAAATAGTGACAAATCCCCGTCAAGAGAGTTGACTCTGAGAAATCATAAAAGGCTGAGAATCGAATCTGATGACGAGAGCGATGAGGAACCTCGGAATAAAACTAAATATTTCAAAGCCAGAGACAAAGAAAGGGAACTCCAGAGGCGGAAAGGTAAATCACCCTTGCTTGCTCACTTGACCTTACAGTTAGTAGTTTAGCTCATTAAAGTTTTATCACTTTTATTCCTTTAATACTTCCATAATTTATTACCAGCGTAATTTAATGTTTAAAGAAAACGTCAGAATAGAAACACTAGAAAGGCAAAACACCAGAAGGGTGGGAGGGGTTGGGAATCAAATAGTCAAATACTTCCTAATATTTTCTAATATAGAATATTACCGAGCGAATATTTATTTTATTATCATACACTTCAAAGAGTTTCCCAATCAAAGCTTTGGAACTCTACTAAGGTTAATAATCCTGAATGTAACCAATGTAACATTTTAAAATCATCATCTATTTTTGCCTATACCTATTTGTTCTTGGTACAAAACCGCTTCCAGTATTTTCCCATTTTATTTAATTGACATTACTATGAAAATGAATTATTTCCTACTTTCATGGTTTTCTAACAACAATTACAGTACCGGTACCACACATTATCAAAACCCTTAAACTCCTAACAGGATTATGTCAAGAAAGAAACACAGTTAAGATAAATGCCTGATCTATTTTACTACTAAGTAGGGGTCTGCGGTACAGAAAATTTAAGGTCGGTACGGTTCGGTACGGTACAATATTTTGTACCTCAGTTCTCGGTACAAAATCGGTACGGTACGCGGCTACCCGTATTTTTTCGGTTTTCTTCTCAGAACTGTATTTAAACAATTATTTTTAATTTTAATACATTACCATTACTATGAAAATTAATAGTAACATTCATGGTTTTCTAACAACAATTATTGTACCACACATTATTAACCTTTTACTCCTACTAGGATTGTGTCAAGAAAAATCACAGTTAAGCTAAAGGTTTTACCTATTTTACTCTGAGATACTTTGAATAGCCATTATAAAGTGGTTTTAAAATCAGAAAAAGAATGTTTAGGAATAAACATGTTTGAAGCATTAATTTACAAGATAATTTCACACAACTGGTAAATTATTTCCAACCAACACAATGTCTAGTTATTTTTTAAACTTTTAAAAACGTATAAAAGCACTCAGTACGAAAACAGTGTAGTTGCCAGCTGTTCAAATTCAACAGTTGACAACGAAAAACAGGATGTTATGATGAAGTAATGGCAAAGAGCATCTTTTTTATCCGCTTGAAAACTAATTATAAGATGGATACATCTCTTGCAAAGTTTTTTTCTAAAACCAAAATTTTGTTATGTTATTCATCGTGACCCTTGGTTGGAATATATAATGGAAGAATTACCTTATCCAACCGCAGTTGCTAGTATGACAACTAGTTTCGTTCCTTAGAACATTGTCAGGTCATTGTATGCAACCACATCATCAATGTATTAGGCTAATACATTGTGGTATGTCAAAAGATTCTTTAAAACACTGACAGAATCGCAATAGTAAAAACTAGTCATGTTGATCAAATTATTAAAATTGAATAAAAAGTGATAAAACTGGTTAAAACTGTAAAGGCTGGCCAGCACTCTCTTATCACTGTCACTGACTAAATAAAACTGACTGAATCATGTGTTGTCTTCATCTTCATCTCTCCAGTGCCACCTGTATTTCAGTTTGTTTTGTTCTTCTTATTTGATACTTCTTTGATTTGTAGCTTGTCAATATATGTATCAAATACCCATAATATTTGACTGGAAGGAAGTCATCATTTAAAATTTGGATACCCAATTTGGATTACCACAGAGTAATATTATTGTCTATTCATTTACAAAGTTAACATCCACACATATCAATCATTAGTTTATGTCAGACACAATCCAATTTTCTTAGTATATTTTAAAGCTCTTCCAAAGAGTCCAAAGACCGAGGCCTAGACCTAATTATTTAGGATGGCCTATATAAATTGAGTAGGTTACAATGAGGGTAGCAAAAACACTATCATAATTCTAGTTTATAAGATTTAGATTGCATTAAGTACCTTCAACACAATAAAGAAATGTAGGAAACAAAAAAAACATTTAAACCTTAACGTCCAACAATATAAGACAAGATACAGAATATGCAATGACATAATTTAAGACCGAGTAGGCTTGCATAACAGAAAAAATTATGTAAACAACAACAACTACTACGATTGTGGTTTCATCAATAGAAAGATAAAATATCCATAACAAATATCTTAACTTATAAAATAAGATTGTAAATTAGTTACAAGATACTAATTTGTGATAAAATTCTTGATGATTGCTTCCCAAGTTTGGAAGTATTTTAAAACTGTTGAAGCAAACAATATATTCGCGAAATAAACCCCCACAATGCCGTTACAGGCACTAGGCCTACAAAAAAACCATCACAGTTACAAAACCAAGCCTTTGTTAAACCTTTTTTTTCAACAAGCCTGCAACTTAAATTGTAACCTCAAATGAATATGTACTTAGGCCTATTTTCTAAAAAGTTTTGTTTAAAACGTCCTTTACACAAATACTTTTGTTCTAAATTTCCCTTTCTTAATAATGAAGTCCGAAATTAACATTATACAGGCTATAGGTACAAAATGACTCAAAATTAAGATACTTCCTTCTAAATATTTAGCTAGAACTTCCAAAGAGGCAGTTAACATAGTTTAAGACATTTCCAGAGCCCCTTTTCTTTCCAAGGTAGCCTATGTTACATTTATTGGTTTAATAGTGAATCATTTCAACAAATAGGCCTGTATTTAACACTTCTGGTAGGCTATGGTATATATTATTTTGATTTGAATGTGTTTGGTTGTCAAAGTGTTTGTACAAATAGGCCTAAGATTAATTTTCTTAACCCCTGAATATAAACAACCTACACTAATAAAAAATAATCAGTTTAAAAAATTTAAATAGAGATATTTTGTTTTTAAATAAAACAATTAAGTAGCCTAATTTAAAAATAAGGTACTGATGTTACCGCAACCAACATTGAAAAAGTGGTACCGACCCATCATTAGTGTATAGTATACAGTAGAATCCCTCTTATCCGGACACCGGACTACACTGCGGAAATGAAATCTCTTTAACCAAACAATTTTTATCAGCACATTGGTTTAACCGGACTAGATCGGCAGGAAGTGTGCGGTACTGAAACAACTGTTCTCGTGGGAAAGATTTGAAACCAGTGATTACGTGTCTAAATACAATGCTCTCCTAAATTTAAGTGAAATACTGTATACAGTATACAAATAAACGGTCAGTTTTAACAAGTTTTTGGGACGTCGGTTTAACCAGAAAAACCGTTATCCGGACTGGCCTCGGTCCCGAGGAGTCCGGATAAGAGGGAGTCTACTGTATATATTTTTTTGTGTGTGTGTTTACATGTGTAAATTTATTGGATTATTCATAATGAGTGAACATATTCAAACAAATGCAACAGCAAAAACAAAAACAATTTTTAGTCTCTTCAGCTGTGTTGGCATCCCTGACAAGGTGAATTAGTTTCAAATTGCAACTGCCATTGCCATTTCTCCAGTGGTTGAAGAAAATTTCTACTTTTGTGTTGTATATTTTATGTGTCTCTATGGACTTATTTAAAGGTAAGCCTGCTAGCCTGCAACTGTCCTTAATGATTCCTGGCAAATGCCCTATCTTTTTATCTAGATCCTAGAATGATTATTTTCTATATTTTCTCTCAAAAGTTGTCAGCCATTGAAACTTAACAAAACTTTTTTTCAATTACAGAGAAAGACCTGAGTAAGAAAACTGAAAACGACGAAGATTACATTGATGGTGCTAAACATTGGTCAAAAAGGAGACGAACCTCAAGAAAACCTGAACCAGAAGTTGAGGACGATAATTCAAACGGTAGGCCTAAGCATTGGTTTTTCAATGCTAATTTTTTCGCTAAACAATCATTTTACTCTCGACCAGGGTTTAAGCTGTGTTCAATATATAAATAGTATTTCAATAAAATATTAACTTCAAGGCTACTAATTTTTAATTCTTTTAATTACGACAATTATTAGGCAGGTTGTTGTGGTTGCAAGGTTTGCAATTAATTCATGTTCCCTTCTTATTGTCCTCCACCCTCGTGAAATAACCTGTTATTATCTACTGCAATCATGATTTGTATTTACTACACAACCTGCACGATCTTAAAACAGAACCAACGGATAAATGTATGCTCATCCTTAGGCTATTGGCAATTATTCCAAATGTCCTGGTTCTTTACTAAATTTAAGTATCAATTTCAGACTTTTTCCCGTAATCAAAGTTCATGTATAATTCCCAATTGCTGAACACCCCAGTTAGTAACTTCAGAACTCTTAGCGGTTTTTCAAAACTACAATAACATATTTCCCCAAGAGGTTATTCAGGTTTGATGTATGTTTGGATCAGCAAAACTGTGGTAGTGTGGTGTAGTTATTCACAGACAATAAAAGACATGATCCCACTCCTAAGAAGAAGGTGTAAATTCACCTTTTTCAACTTACGTGTTTTGGAAATATATTGACAATTGTTATAGTAGTTACAGAATATGAAAGCAAAAGAAAATTCTCTTTTCTTAATTTTCAGTAACAGCAGAAAAATATAAGTTTAATTTTGTGTGTTGAAGCTCTTTTAATGTTAGCTAACTGTTGGAATAAAAATAAACTTATGAATGTTTATTTATTAATTACCTTGATTAATTATCTTCAAATAGATCAACGATTAAAGTAGTAATACCAATGCTTCTTCCTTAGACTCCTCCTCTCACACGCCAAAGACCAAACTTGGGAAAGTCGAACGGAAGCTGGTACCTGTCCTTGAGAAGCTAAGCGTAGAAGAACTAATGGAGACGAATACATACCAGAGGTTCAATCGCTCTATTGAGAAAATATTCAACAACACAGACGACATTGATCTCACCATGGATCCAGGTAAACATAATATGTTTATTTTGAAAAAGCTGTTAGTTTACTAACTGAAGAAAAATTTGATGGGATTAACTGTTTCACTCCGTTTTTATGCTGTTTAATAAGCTTGTCTGTAACCATAGCAGATTTTGTTAGATTGCCTTTTTAAACTGAAAATTTGTCCATAATATTTATTGTTAAGTGGAAAAAATTGCCCTTAAAGTTGAAGTGAGAATGTGGGTCCGCGGAATTGGCTAACTCCGGAACTCGCTAACCCTATGTTAAACACCCTACCTTCAAATTTGGTCAATGAGAGGAACTCGCTAACTTGTTCGGTTAAGGAATTGGCTAACTCCGGAACCCGATAACCCGCTCTACAGCCAGGTTAGCGAATTCCGTCCTAGTACGTAATGTAAAAGTTATTGCTCTAACATTTTTTATATGTTAATACAATTTGGCAAATTTATTTATTTAATCTTATACCTATGGTAAAAAAAAACTTGTTACCTTTCCTTTAGCAGCAAACCTAAGCACTGGTTAAATCTAATGTTTTTTTAAATTGGGAATAAATATGTCTTATTTATAGTAATATTTTAGTAAAAATTTAATCAGACAAGTTAAAATTCGCTTAGTCTGCAGGTTTGCTGCGGTGGGGGTATTTTAATTGTTGAAGTCTGCCCTTTTCCCCAACCAAAGTTTGCTTTAGTTTTCATCATGTTAGTAACTGCCCAGGCGGCAGCTCTCTCACCAATACTAGAGTCTGATGCTTTTACCCTTTCCCAAGCTAATAAGCTGTCAGCCACTGATCTAATTTTACTATCCTTCGATCTTGAGTATGCTATATCGTGGTTTCTACTAACCATGAGTTCTACAGGTAAAATACCCTGTGTCCTTGTACAAGAAGATTATCTGTTTACATACAGGGTGAATAAAAAGTCAAGACACCCCATCTAATATTTTTCTAAGTTAGAACACAGTTAGGACACAGATAGTCTTCTTGAACACAGACACAGGGTATTTTACCTGTAGAACTTCATATATCCGGCTATCAGTACTGTGGACCTGGAACGAATTTAAGGAAGAGATTAGCAAGAGGTGATCCAGGCATACAAAAATTAGATGCTGCATGCAAAAACCACGATTTAGCATACTCAAGATCGAAGGTTGGTAAAATATACACAGATACCCTTTTGGTGATTGTGCAAACTTAGCACAATGTTTCATTTTATGATTTTGAAAATTTTTTGTGTCCCCCAAAAATCTCAGATCAACTGGAGATTATTCTATATATAAGATATATTAATCTTTAAACATTACCAATTTAGTTTTAAACAATATGATTTAAGTTGGCATTCTGTTAATATTAAGTTTTTTTAACCCACCCTTATGACATTGTGTATCTGGATTTTTCAAGATCCGGATCCGGTACTGACATTTTCTTGGATTTGCCCATCACTATCAAAAATCAATACATCCATAGTGCTATTATAATTTGATACCTTCTTCTCAGGCGATGAAGAGGAGGTGCCATCAGAAGCTATGATTCCCAAGTACCAACTGCAAGACCTGTGTGGAGAAGCAGCTAAACTGAAGACCCTCGGAGCCATGGAGTCCATCCCCTCAGAACGGATCACGAGGTTGCTGAGTATCCTTGAGAAGAACATCAGGGACGGCACTAAAGTCTCCCCTTTGGCAGACCCGGTGAGTATAATCATTTTACAAGATCTGGGTGGATGGGTGAAGAAAGCGTTTACAGTTATTTTGTATGTAATAGTCTATTTTTGGGGTAGTTCCACAAAGATTCTTCATAGATTTCACGATTTCAAAGTTATTGGGAACTAAGTACAAATGTTTACTGTCACTTTAAAAATATGTATGATCCAATTAAAATGCTTACTTCTAAAAGGAAACAACAGAAAAATTTAACAGTAGCTTTAATATATTAACAAATATGTATTAGTAATAATGTGTTACAGAAATCTGTATACTAACAGTCGAGAATGTTACTTCTTGAACATTAATAACTGATATTAAATTTCCAGAATGACGATGAAGATGAGCGCAAGCTATGGATGGAACTGGCTATGGAGAGGGTGATGAGAGCTGTGGATGCTTCTCTAACAACCCTCTACATCCTAACATCCCCCAACATGCACAAGAGGGTTTACCTGGAAGATGTGATAGATAGGGTGGTCATATTCACCAAATATCAACTACTGAACACCATTTATCCATCTTTTGATCCGGTCTACAGAGATATCAAAGATAAAGGTACGTTTTCTAATGTCTATCGATCCTTCAACACTTCCAGGACACATTTTTGAAAAAGGTTTCCTTTTTTCTAAAAGAAACCTTCAGTCTTTTTGTAAAATACTTTTTTGTGATACAAATTCCCTAAAATCTTCACATTTTGATGATACTAATCATATATAACCACACTCACATTTTTACCTTACTACCATACTAATATTTATTTAGCTTACTAATATTTTTTCACCACACTATACCGTAAACTAAATGTTTCTGTACAGTTGTATATTTGTGTTGTAGACAAAAAAAGTCATTGTTTACAGAAAGGGACCAGTAAAGTCAGTTGCAGTACAGTATTTTTACCAATCACTCTCACATGCACGTGACTATTTTTCAATAAGACACAATATCAGTTTCTTTGGTAAGCTCTCAATGGTATTAGCTGTACAATGAATATTACACAGGTTAGGCCAGACCCTTTCACAAATAAATATTAAAAAAGGTTTACAAATTTTATAATTCTGTTAAATTATCTTGAAATAGTGCACTGTATATTTGACAGTATTGTGATCGTATGGGTTATGTGTTACTTAACCTGTGTTTTTGTCTGTGGATGTGTGTGAAAAGTAACATTTCGCCAGTAACATTGCCACTCATCCGGAAAGGTGCTTACAGCACTCGTACGAAAACCTGTGCTCGGCAAGCCTCTCTCAAGAACTGTTATGCTTGTACCTGAAACTCCTACTTCCCAGACTTGTAGCATAATATAATATTTCAGTAGCCTGTATCTTAGCCCGGTACTTATCCCGAGCCCTGTTTGTAGATGGGTTCGTAGCAAATATGCGGAAGAAGAGAGCACACACAAAGGAGGTGAGAGAGAAGAGCGTGTTATCTCTCTACAACAAGCTAGCCGAGGTGGTGTCTCTACTAGCAGAACTGTTGAGTATCCAGACTCTCACAGATACAGCAGTTCTCCACATATCTTCCATGGGTGTGTCACCGTTCTTTGTTGAAGGCGTCAGCGAACTTCAGCTGTCTGCCCTCAAACTCGTGACTAATGTTAGTATTACCAGGCCTTCTCTTTATTACACTTAATTTCATTATGAAAGATATGAATTCTTTGTTCGCAGTTCATTTTTTGTGATGGTGAGTTTATGTCTAAAAATCAGGCCTAGTCAAACAATTTTTTGTTGATGCTACTAATGCTTTTTTGTTAAGGTTAAGGTATTAGGTAAAATTTAATTTTTCTTTTGTGGATAAAAGGATGAAATGAGGAACTAAGTTTGTGATAAATTTCTCCCCATTTTAGTTTCTTTAAAATGCAATTTTTTTTTTTAATGGACTTAGTCATAGACACAGAATACAAGTGTTATCAATCGATCAAAATAATAACTATTCTAACAATAAGTTAAACAACTTATTGATTTTTTTAGATATTTGATGTGAACTTAACTATGGAATTAGCATTTTGAATTTGGTCACCAGTAACAAGCAGTATTCAATTTAGCACCTATCATAAATCATAAATCTGCTATAATTTGCATTCATCACAATGTTGTGCTTACTATAATCCCTTAATATCGTGATCATTTTCATTATCATCATCACCTGAGGCAGTATCTCCTGCGGTAACAGAAACGTCATCATCGTCTCCTGCAATAGCGACAAAATGAATATCTCCATCGTTCATGGAGACAAGTGTCATCTACGATCGCGGTAAAATGCTGAATATCTTTCACAAATATGTGGTCATCATCATCATCGACTTCTCTGTCACGGAAATGTTATCAGCGCCATTCGCGATCACAACAAAATCCTGAATATCACCCGTAGTCACGTGGTCATTATCATCATCTTCAGCGATCATGGAAAAGTTATTGTTATCCGCAATTTCTGCATAATCCTGAACATCTCCTGCAGTCTCGAAAACGTCATTCACGATCACGGCAAAATTCTGAATATCTCCTGCGGTTTGTAGACATTATTGTTGTCTCCCGTGGTCACAAAAATGTTAACAATATATTCGGCGATCGTCGTCGTAGTCTTCTGTGATCGTGGCAAAATCCTTGACAACTCCCATGGACTTGTACACATAAATGTCATTATTTTCCACGATTTCGGAAACGCTATCAACATCATCTGCTTTCGCGGCAAAAACGGGAGCAAATTTTTCAAAATTTTTTCGATCTTGTAAACTATGTAGACGTGTTTTATGATCGCGATCGCAAATGCTCGGGTTTGATTTTCAAAGGTCGATTCAAAGACTCGATTTTTCAACTTTGTGCTCCATCTCTTGAGTTTGTAGGTCAGGCTCGAAAATCGAGCCTTTTGCACACTCCAACTTAAGGGTGTTATTTATTTTCATGAAAGTTTCAATTTGGACCATAATTTCAGCCAATTTGGGTCGGTTTGATCTAACATATCACACACGTTTATTACAATTTTATCAAAATAGTTAACCTAAAATATCCATGTATTTCTTTATGTCGTAATAATGTCTTTGTAGATCTTCACCAAGTATGAGAAACATCGGAAGCTTCTACTTGACGACATTCTGGCATCTATGGCTCGACTTCCCAGCTCCAAACGCAGTCTGCGTTCCTACCGACTCAACTCTGAAGAGCAGATTCAAATGTTGACAGCTCTGGTATTGCAGCTGATCCAATGTATGGTGGTGCTACCTGTCAACCTTGGCCAAGACAAACAGGTAAACTCCATTCTATTACACACTTAGTTATGTCAAATTATAAAATTGTATGAACAAATTACGCGATGAGATGTTTTTGTAATAAGTAGATTAATGAAAAAAGTATGGCTTACAAACAAAATAGCTGTAGTTGAATTATTAAATATTTCAATAAATTGGTCATAAAGGTGGGGTTAGGTACTGCAGAAATGAACACATTCGCTGCTGTAGCGTGATGGCCGGCTGAGCCCAGTAGTAGGAACACCCAATGCTCTGTGTGGATTAATGCGTAAAACTGTTTGGATTCAGCTTTATCCATTAGATGAGCTAGAGTATAGCATGTACTGCGTTCTAGTGTTAATGAATGTAATTCTACAAAAAACAGACCCTCCCTCATTACTGCCAAATACAGGTAAAATGCTAGGGCGAAGCAAGCCCTACACTTTAACCATGTCTAACATTTACATGCAAACAAATCTCATCCTCATAACGTGAGTGGCAAGGCCAAACTAACTGATGGAAGTATGTATTGCTCTGCTTGTCTGTAGGGCCCTATGTCAGTATGGTGTGCTCGGACAACTTGAGTTTATAGGTGATTACTTATCTACCTTACTTACACAATCTGTAGAATGGATTTTAAAATATCCATAGGCTATTGATCAGTTTTTGTGTGTTTTAGCTGGATCCAGACTCGGTGATATCCAACAAGTTCGTAATGGCGCGTACGATAGCCTCCAACTTCTTGTATGTGTTCCTTGCTAAGTGTAGCAGCAAGAGTGAGGAGATTGACTATCGACCACTGTTTGAGAACTTTGTTCAGGATCTTCTGACAACGGTGAACAAACCAGAGTGGCCAGCCGCTGAACTCATGCTCAGTGTGCTTGGAAATCTTCTGGTATGTTTAGTAAATTTACTAATTTAGGTGTCTAATAGAGAAAGATAGTTATTTTATTTTACAACTTAAAGATTCCTGTAAGTTTGTTTCATACATTTATCAATATACGACAATTGAAAATTTACATTTATCTTGTGGGGCTGAGTGAAAAAATATATTACTGACAGATTGTTCAAAATCTATTCATTTATTCAGTTGTATATTAACTTCTAGTGCAGTTAGTTTACTTAGGCTTCTTTATCGTATAATTAATGTGAGTGGTTATTTATTTATATACAGTTTTGTGTTTTCCAGATTAGGTTTCTTATTTTGCAGTAATTGCCACCTATGCTATGAAAGCTATAGAATATACATTACATCATGTATACATATAGCCTATATTCATCTTTGTGAAACATAAAGCTGAATTTATCATCTATTGACTGCAAATGCAATAGTACCGACTCCAACTTTTGAAATCCTACAAAAAAAGCATGCTAATATTAAATCTATACCCCCTTTAATTATTCTTGATTGATCGATATTCACCAAGAAATTCTTGACAGTGAATTGCACACCTCCAACTCAAAATCACAAGCGAAGCGATAGCAAGCTGTAACCACTAAGACATCTTGAGAACACAATTACAAGAAAGGTATTCAAGTGAGAAAGCTTTGTTTGTTTACTTACAGGTGACCAGTTTTGTCAACAAGAGCCTAGAGATGCCACTGAGGGTTGTTTCTCTGGACTATCTGGGTGTCGTGGCTGCAAGGTTACGCAAAGACGCAGTCCAGTCTAACCTCAAACTGACTATGATAGATCAAATCATTAATGAAATTAGATCTGAGGAGCAAAAAGACGATGATGGAAATTTGAAGGTATGTAAACTCACTTGAAGTTTCCTACTGATACTTTAGATTGAACATTTGCCTGAATGTGCTTAAAGTCTCAAGATTTTATTGATATCAATGCAGTTCAATCCAGTAGAGTGGTCTAGGCTGATTATCCAGGGTCAAAACTGTTAAGGATGTAACATGGAGCAGAATGGATGGGTTTCCTTTAAATATTTTTTATTGTTAGGATAGCAGCCTTACCAAAATTAAAAAGAGTAATCTGGAACAAATAATACACAACTTTACACTATATAGTATATACACGAAACATTAGAATATTTTACTGTAACTGACAGCGTTTTTGTTTTTAACTAAGGAAGAGTGAGTTTTCTTAAGGCCAATCAGTCTCTTTTATAAAAAAAATTATCCATTTTGGTAAAAATTTATTTACAGAGTAGTAGGCTTCCTCTTATCTGGCTACCTTTCAACATTAATTTAACCGTTTGTTGTTATAGGATTGATATCCTTTTAAGTGTCCACTTTTATTACTTGAGAACTAACTGGTCCACTACATTTTATTGGTAGTGATCAGCCAGTAATGAAAGCTGGTATGTTTATCTGAACTGAACTACGTATACAACCCACACTCACCCGTTCCCATGAATATGCTTTTGCTTCGATTGGGAAACATAAACATATTGAGTTTCAGAGAACACCAGTTGGTCAGGCCTACTCAGAGGGCTACTGTAAAATGAGTTGTATTCAGGATACGGGAACATGTTGTGAAAAATTTGTGTGATAAAACGTTGTTTCGGATAAATAGTAACATTTTGACTTTCTTTGGATTACCTATTTCTAGTTTTGAGTAATGAGGACTTCTGGGACCAGTTTATAGTACTGATAATGTTAAATAGGAAATAGAAGTTTCTATTTTTGTATTTGCTCCATAAATGTGAGATATTTTCTTTCTATACCTATTTCATCATTAAATAATTGACTATGAATTTAAATTATGTAAATATATTGCACTATTAGCTGTGTCCTCCAAATACGCCAGGATCTTTCCTCATAAAATGTTAAGTCAAGTCAGATAATAGTCCTATAGTGCAACTTCGTTAACAATTGCCTCAATAAAAAGTCACTTTTCTTAACAATTGTCCTTTCAAATTAGACTTACCCTTTATATTACCTTTAATAGCATATTATTGCATATCTCGATAAGAAGTCTACCTTGATAACAAGTCTCATTCAATGATACTCATGAGGGATTTGTTATCGAGGTTTTAGGTCTCACATTGTCTTCAGATGCATAGCTGATGGTTTGTAAAACGTAAGCCTTGTTTCACAGACTGATGTAACACCGGTGCAAGACGATGAGGAAAGAACACAGTTCCTGCAAAAGGTTCTATTGGACTACCTTGCAGTGAGGGGGCAAGGCGACCCTGCGCATACCTACGCCAGACACTTCTACTTGGCACAATGGTACCAGGATAACATCAAAAATATTAACACATCGCCTAAGATCAAACCCAAGAATGATGATGCCAAGCGAGGAAACTCCAGGAATAGAAAACAACCTGGTAAGTCATACCTCAATCAGGGACGGACGAGATTGTATTTCCTGTTTGGATAAGCAGGATTTTTGTTTCCCTCTTTTGTTTTTCAGGATGTAAATTGGACAAGATTTTTCTTTCAACAGGGAAGATTTAGTTTGCTTTTTAATTTTGAGTAAAAATTTTTATAAATGGCAACAATGACAAACTAAATAAATTTGCAGGCTTTACTGCACTGTTCCATAAAAACTGACTGAAACAAAAAATGTGGGTAAAAATACATAATTTTAAAAACAGTTTAACAAAAAGAATTACATATTTGGTTCAATTTAAGTGTAAAAACTCCGTCATATTATGAAAACGCCTTTAGCTAAACATAAACAGGTAGTTTGCCCATTTATCACAGCATTTTAACCTAAAAAAAGTGTTATGCTCCAAACATCAAACTATTCATTGTAAGAAAATCATTAATTTCTTAAGCTTGGTAAATGATATCACAGCAGTATATGTTCTTTAACAAAATATGTCATATAACTTCATCAAACATCAATCATCATCATGGTTAACTGCGATCCCGTGATTGCTAAGACACGATTATCGTCGTGGGGGATAAAAATTTGGCAGTAAGGATGAAACTATGCAAATAGGTAATTAAATCGAAGGACAGCCCGATTTGGTCAGGAACCAAACATTCATAAAAGGCCAAAACTGTTTTTTTTTGACAAAGGGTACAAAACAAAACAGCTTTGGCATCTGCCCCAAAGAGGTATGGAATTACACTTAATATTATCAGCCCCCTAATTTGAGGGTTGTGTTAATGCTTGTTTTTGTACTTACATTCACACAAAAAATATACCATCTAACTTGTCTATAAAATTCTGATAAGTACGGTATGTACTTTTACTGGGATGGAGGTGTTGTTATTGAGTATTACTGTGCTATTGGTTTTGTCCACTAAGTTAATCTTGAAACGGTAACCCCCACAGCTTAAGTGAATTCATCATCGCTTCCATTGTGAATAGTAGTGATGGCTGTCACTGTAAGCAAAAATATTAATGTACGTATGTAAAACTTTAAATTATTTATCTTTACAAGATTTCTGTACCAAGACGTCTCTGTGCTTGATGTCTAATTTTCTTTTCTAGATACCTATGAAGAAGAGTCTAGTGAGAATGATGAGGATGATGAGGAAAGGAAGAGAGGTGATGGCGAGACTGTAGATCCGTTGGAAACTTACCGGTTAACAGAAGCGAGGAAAAAGTTTCTCCTGAGTAAAATCCGCCCCTTTGAAGATTCCGTTTGCAAAGAAGGCATGAAGAATCAGGTCCTTCAGACTTATATTGATTATGACAGTGCTGAGCTGGTTTCCCGCTACCTAGCGTCTAAGAGGCCGTTTTCTCAAAGCTTCTCTACCTACTTAAAACATGTAAGTACTATTTTAAGTTAAATTTCCCCCTAGTATTCCTTTTGCCTATCCCGTTTGATGTTCCCTGTATTGATGAATTGTTACCCGTAGCTTATCAGTTGTTTTCCTTGTATAATTCTGATCCTTTGGTGTTTCTCCTTAGACATTCCATCCCCATGTTAAATTTGTTGCCCGATTTTTTATAAAAATTGTCGTAGTTGATGTGAGCCACCGACAGATTGCGCTGATTTAAATCACTAAATTCTATCAAATACACAAACTTTTTTACCAAGTCAAATTTTGGGAATGACTTATGGTGAGCTATAGCAACTGTTATGACCTATCAACTTGGTCAGCAACAAAACTTAAGGTATGAATTAGAGTTTTCGACACTAGCGCATTCTGTGACTGGCTCACACAATTATGTTCTTTTTTAATAAAAATGGGCCACAGCTGGTCCATATAGATGGGATGGTACTTCAGTATCCAACAGTCAATGGTTTCTCTTATTATTTGTAGTTGTAACATTTTAGCTGTGTTGGTTTCCTTGTATTTGCCTTGTAATGATACCTTTCCCACAATTCCTCTCTAAGAAGTGATCATCACTTGTTCCTCGGCATCTCTACTTATCCGAACTTTTCTGAAATGCTGAAATTTATAAATGCATGAAAATGGCAGCAGCAGAAGTTTGATCTTGTTACAAGTGAAATAATAATATTCATATAGAAAAAGACAATTTCTTAAAAATTTTTTTAACCCTAGATTTACTAAATGCACTATAGGTACATTCTTATAAAAACGACCTTGTATTTTCAGCCTTTAAAACAACAAAACATTTAAAAATTTGCCTTTCTTTTATGTTTACTAATATCAACTTTTCCGCACTATAGCAACTGTAACTTCACAACTTAAATGTTTACACATCACTCCCATGTGCATGTCACTTAATCGTTGCTTGATATTGCATTAGTTACACATAAATACATTTAAATGAAGATTCTCATTATTTTGTTTTTGTTTTATACCAGATACTGACAGTGCTATCCGAGTCATCAGTTCTGATCCGTACAAAGGCCATGAAGTGCCTCACTTCCATTGTAGAGGTTGACCCGGCAGTTCTTGGACTCAAGGCAATGCAGGACGGAGTCAACTTTTCCTTTCTTGACCACTCAACTTCAGTGCGAGAAGCTGCTGTCGACCTGGTCGGCAAGTTTGTCCTGAGTCGACCTGAACTCATTGACAAGTATTACGACATGCTTTCAGCCAGAATATTGGTTAGTTTGATTTCTCTCAATATATTTTGTATTCAATTAAAAAATTTACAATCATTTTTTGGCACTTTTGACTGTGAAAACCTTCAAATTCCATAGGTTTGGTAGATGTGTTAAAAGATAGCACATCATGTCAATTAGGTATTGTGTAATTTTAATTCAAGAATGGTTGATGCTCTACGTTTGATGAAATTGTGTACATGAGTGTAAACAAACACACAAACATGATGAGTTTCACAAAGCATCCTTGTTGTACTATGAACACAGGCTTTCACAGTGTTGTATGTGGGTGAATCTGAATATGAGTTTTTGTCATTTTCTTCTCTGGAAACCTCAAAATTCCATGGGTTTAGTGGATGTGTTAAAAAGAGCTCAAAAACAAAGTCTTATATCGTGTCTTTTATTTCCTTATGAAGGGTTAGAGAGGTTTAGGTAAAAATATTATCCCATGAAACTTAAACCGGTTACTGTTGATGAAACTCCACTTTTGATATGAGTGTAAGAGGGTGAACACATATCCAGCAAGATGAGTTTCACTTAGCATCCTGGCCAGACCATGAGAACAGGCTTTCATAGACGGTTGTATGGGCTAAATTGCTAAATATGAGGTTGTATTGCATATTTGACTCTGAAAACCACCAAATTCCACATACTAACTGAAACCGTTTAAAAACAAACAAATAGTATACAACATCTTTTATTGTTTCATGAAGGGTTACAAAGAAAAGTGCCAATACAGATTCCTATGTATAGTTCTAATGCGACTAAGGATATAGCTCTGCTAACAATTAAATTTGGTTTAATGCAGTAAACACTCCCTCTTCAGGTTGAGTTTTACTAACTGTCTTGATTAGTCCATGTGAATATGGATTTCTTGCATATTTAACCATGAAAACAAAACATCCAAAAAAGTACAGATTTTTCTGTTCTCCATATTCATTAATGATATCAAGGGAGTTATTAAGATCCCTTTTCTTTTTTTCGCTGACGATATCAAACTTTTTGTGGAAGTTCGTCCTTGTGGGAGGCTCTTAATCTCTTAATGATGTTCTCAGTTGAGGTTTGTCCAACGACATGACGATGAATCCCACAAGACTAAGTTAATGATTTTTTTGCAGAAAACAAAATTCTCTGCATGTTGAATATTTCCTAGATGACAGTTGGTTAGAAAGAGTTGTAACCTCAAAGACCTTGATTTTTTTATCGACTCAACGTTTGAGTTTGGGCCACACAATCACCACATCTCTACCAAGGGCTCAGGCATGATCAAAATGATCTGCTCATTAAATGAGCCAGGATTAAGATTAGAAATAATGATATGAACTCATATTTAAAGCTAACATTCCTTAATTCATATACAAATTATATATATATACATTGTAATTAAAATTTAAAAAAGTTTTAGCTGTGTGAAGCCAATCTTTCTTGTACCTATGGTGTAAAACATGTTAATATGTGTTTTTGTTTTTAGGATACTGGTGTTAGTGTGAGAAAGAGGGTGATTAAAATTTTGAAGGACATTTGCATTGAGTATCCGGAGTTTCCAAAGATTCCTGAGATTTGTGTGAAAATGATTCGTAGAGTCAATGATGAAGATGGTGAGTACTAATATTCCAAATCGTTCAAAGGATCTGTTAAGTAAATTCTATTTGTCTTTGCATTGATATAACTATTTATCAATCTTATAGTAAACATCAATTGCTTCCCATTTATAAGAAGTTAACTGCAAGAAAAGACCATGAGGTCCTAAGTTCGCCTCAATAAAGGATTTTAATTTTATTTATTAATCCCCTAATGATTGTCAAATATACAGGCACATTCATCTGAAAAGATTCAACAGTAGGCCTATAGACTCTGTGGTAGTCCAAAAAATATATAATTGTCTAAAGTATTATTTTGAAATTTTAAATGATTATTGTTTGGTTGCAGGTATCCGTAAGCTGGTAATGGAAGTTTTCCAAAATATGTGGTTTACGCCGGTGAAGCAAAAGCCCAACGTAGACAAGGATGTGATGATTCGGAAGGTCATGAACATTACGGACGTTGTAGCAGCATCGGAGGACATGGGTCTGGAGTGGTTCGAACAACTGCTCGTCAGTGTGAGTATCATCATAATTTTGTAAATCCATTCAGCTCTACACCATCGGATCATTACAAAAATATTTTTATTTTTATAAAATTGTATTACTCTTTTATCTTAGTTTAGAGGATAAGCAATTATTTTTCATTAAATTGAATTTTAGCCTCCTGATCGCATTTAAATACTAAATAATTGGTGTAAATACCTGCATTTATGTGATCAATTTGCAACCAGTTTCGACTCACAAAGGAGTCATCGTCCGGCCATTACAGATGTCTCTTTGCTTCATTCGAAGGTCTTCAATTTGTAATAAATAAATACATTTAAAACGTACACGAACATAAAAACAAACATTTAGGGTTAAAAACAAAGGGTAATACTAGAACGGTAACGGGACACGACGTGATCAGGCGGGGGTTATGTCTAGTCTTATTAATTATTATTTAAATTATTATTATTTATATTCATTTTATTTTACTTTAATTTATTTTTTATGATTGTATTGTTTTGTCTTTATATAAATTAAACTTCTAATTTAAATTACAGCTGTTCAAACCTAAAGAGGACAAGGAAGACTCCACAAAAGTGTCTCATGAACACAGCAAAGCCCTGATGTTGGCTTGCAAGCAGATCGTGGACTGTCTGATAGATCATGTGTTGAACCTGGACGGTCGCGGAGGTGGGTCGTCTCAGAGGCTGATTGCTTGTCTGCGAACTCTCCATCTGTTTGCTAAGATCAAACCTCAGTTGCTAGTAGAACATGCAATCACTTTGCAGCCCTACCTCAGTCTTAAATGCCAGGTCAGTAGCCTATATTGTGTGGAATACAAGTTGGCCATGACAGGGTGTTTTACAAAAATATTGTTTGTTTCTTAAAAAGGTACACAAAAAATAAGTTTTCACTACTGTGAAATAAAACTATGCATGGGCCGGCTAGGTTATTATGTTCCATTCGTTTGTTGAGTTTTTCCTTGTACTCAAGGTCATGTCGAGTAGTTCAGTACTTCAGTAGAGTAGTTGAGCTCATATGTGGTACACTGTAATTGTTGCAATGAAACCATGAATAATGTAGGATATACTATGCATCTTCATAGTATTATCAATGTATTAAAATAAAATAAAATGGTTTGAACACAATCCTGAGAAGAAAATTACAAAAATGCTAGTAGCCCTGTACCGTACCAATTTCGTACCGAGACCCGAGGTACAATATGTGTGCATTAAAGATATATTCCTAAGTAGTAAACAACTTAACTGTCCTGCCCCATATCGACATAAAAATTGTTTGTCACGCAGACCTCTAATTTGTTCATCCTCCATTATGCTGTGAGTTATGATCAGAGAAACTCTAAAGATTTTTTAAAGATCTAAAAAGCTGTTGTTGGAGCCTGTTTGTATAACTGATGAGGTCATTATATCTTGTTCATCATATTAATTGAATGGTTTAGTATAACGTTAACGTTTGAACAAATCGTCAACAAATTACAGAACCAAAAATGTTAATAAACATATGAATAAGTAGGTAAATTGTCAAATACCTACTCTTGTGAGAGACATGAGATTTCTGTAAATTATGATAATGAGACTTTTATTTATTTTTTGATAGTAAATCCTTGTTACTAAGTTGGACTCCTTGTTACTAAGTTGGACTCCTTGTTACTAAGTTGGACTCCTTGTTACTAAGTTGGACTCCTTGTTACTAAGTTGGACTTTTCTGTTTTGTTAAAATGTATGCTACTTTCAAACCACAATTGTAAGTTTATTTTGTAACCAGTCTCCTACCAAGGGGATTGTGTCCAAATAAAAACGAAAGATTGCTGTAAATTGTTAATCAGAAGAATGTTTTGTGTTGCAGACTCAAGGAGACTACCAAATCATCAGTTCAGTGGCTCGTACGTTGGAAATCATTGTTCCTCTGATTGAACATCCGAGTGAATCGTTCTTGGCGAGGCTCGAGGAAGACTCGGTCAAACTGATCATGAGGCAAGACCAATCTGTCATAATGAGCTGTGTGTCTTGCCTCGGTTCTGTGGTGAACAATGTTACTCGCAACTACAAGCTGATACGCGACTGTCTCTTACAATATCATGGTGAGTCAAGTATAACAATAGTAAAATCATAGGTATCCTTGATACAGATGATCAACTCAAATCAAGTACCTTTTATTATAATACTAACTCAGCAGCGATGTTGTGGGTTCGGATCCTAGTCACTGCCGAATACATTTTATCAGTACAGTTCACCTTTGTACTGTACCGGCTCACTCCTTGCTGTAAACGACCCACGCACGGGCGGTTAGTCTATGTGGACGGGCAAATGCAAGGTTATAAGAGGCCGCCAACTGTAATAATAACGACCTTGATTATATCAAAGTGGCTTACTTTGTGCACTTCCAGTTTAAAACTGAATATGGACTCGACTCGTATGTTTTCATTATTTAAATTTAGCAGAATCATTCAAATATCTACGTTCTCCAACAGAAACTTGAACGTAGTTTTAAATCAATATGATTCAAATGCATACTTTTGAATAACAAATAGAAATTCTAACGATTAACTAACAAATAACTTCTATCAGTTACTTTTCACGGGACTAACTTAAATTCTAACTAGTTAGAATATTTGACTAACTTTCCCAACTATGATGATTACCACAAGCTACTTGTACATTTGGAATAGTAAATCACATCCCTAACACACATTTATTTTCTTCAACACTCAAAACAAGCACAGTGCAATAAATATACTTGAACAGGTTGACAAAATGTCTTTAAGTCATGTAGTATTATATTTGAAGATAAACAATACGCTGTGAAATAATACAGTGAATAGTGAAACATGTCTTGTCATAATAAAATACTCTGAAAATGTGCAAACAGAAATTTTACTAGTGGCTCTTACATAGGACCTAAAATGTACACTATATATGTTTCTGTAGAATTGTTAAGACTGTTTCAAATTTAGAATATGACTCATTTTGTTATAAACTTTCCTAATTTGACTTAAGCCCCTTTTATACTCTGCGACGCGCCACATGCTGCTGCGGCCCTGTAAGAGCATTGTTTTAAATAAGCTTTTATAACCTGCGACGGCCGCCGCATGCCGCTGCAGCTAGCTAGATGCACGATGACGCGCCGAAGAAACATGCAGCCTCGAGGTGCATTGCGTTATATAGGAGCTTTTATACTCTGCGACACGCCGCATCGGAGCTGTCTAGTGCTGCCAACTGATGAAAACAAACTCGGCTCAACAAACTGATGAAAACAAACTCGGCCCAACAAACTCTTCCCATTTCACTTTTTGTTTTTTGTTTTTCTTTCCTGTGCATCAGTTTGCAACTTTTGATTATGTACATCGACAAAATCAACTACGACTGATGTCATTATTGAACAGTTTATCGACGAAATAAAATCTACACTTCTAAACACTAGTGGTAAATATAAATTTCTAAGTTGCCTGCCCTGACACCCCCACAAAATAAAATCTACACTTCTAAACACTAGTGGTAAATATAAATTTCTAAGTTGCCTGCCCTGACACCCCCACCAATGCCATGGCCGTCAAACAAACATGCGGCGCCTGCCGTTTTACGCAGCGCCGTGTGGCACCGCAGAGTATAAAAGAGGCCTTAATTTGCTGTAACAATGACATCGTCGTAATTTTTTGGTGTTGATTGGTAATGGATGATTTAATTTGAATGCTTCACATTCTTGTGTTGCTAAGAAACATTGGAAACACTTTACAAAGCTTTCTCTGATTTTTTTTCCTCTTTGACACAACACAGCTAATAAGCTGTATTGTGTCAAAAATCAATACTGTAAACGTAAGAATCGTGAATTCAGCTTAACCAGTGAACATTGTTTTTTCAGGATACCTGTTCTTCTACAAGAAACGGGCAATGGATGGACATGAAGATGAAGTAGTAAAAAAACAACCACTAATCAAAAGGTCACTGTACATAGTTGGGCTACTTCTGAGATTCTTTGACTTCACTGATAAAGAAGTTTTGGATGGTTTCCCTGTAAGTTTTTATTACATTTTTTACTAGGGAGTGATTCACGACGTCCAATGATACAAGTCAGTGTCACGACGTCCAAAATATAATCTTGAGCTGTTTCACGATATCCAATATTAACACACAAAGACATCACATTTAAATAATAAATAAAACACAAAACATACTGACAGACGGCTAACATAAATTCGGGAACTAGTTCCACGCACGACGTGGCACAGGCAAACGTTTTAACCACTTGACTTTCAATGTTTAAGTATACCGTATACTATTGTTCAGTAAATAACTACATTAAGGAATTTCTTATCCAGGAGAAAACCAGAGACCAAGTTTTTGAAACACTTCTCTTCTACTTGCATCAGAGGGATCTGAAAGGTTTCACACTCAAGGCCATTGGTTTTGTTTGTATTCGCCACTATGAGCTCATGTTGGGCCCTGATCTCAAAACTCTCTACCACGAGATCCTCCGAGATGCTGATTCTCCTCGAGATCTTAAAGTTCAGGTAAAGTGTTACTGTAGTTTAATCACCTTATCTCAATATCTGTATGGAGTAAATAACCAGTTAAGTAATCTAATCCAAACAATCAATCAATTTCCTTTTAATTTCAATTTCCCTTCAATTTAATTGTTAATTTTCTAACTGAGCAAGTAAGTAAATATAAATCAATAAAAAAACATAACGTAAAAAGGAAGATAATTAATTCAAAATGTAATGTTGGGAATTTTCTGATTATAATGGAAAAATTCAGTAGTGAAATTTAGAAATTAATGTACACTAGGCAATTTAACATTAATACAGTAGACTCCCTCTTATCCGGACACCTTTTAACCGGACTACACTTGGCGGGAATGACATCTCTTTAACCGGAAAATTTTTATCAACATATTGGTTTAACTGGACTAGATCGGCAGGAAGTGGGTGGTACTGAAACAACTGTTCTCGTGTGAAAGATTTGAGACCAGTGATCACGTGTCTAATTACAATGCTCTCCTAAATTTAAGTCGAATATCACAGTAAATGGTCCGTTTTAACGAGATTTTAGTGACGTCGGTTTAACTGGAAAAACTGTTATCCGGACTGGCCTCGGTCCCGAGGAGTCCGGATAAGAGGGAGTCTACTGTAGTGCTTACAGTGTATTGCTAGATACTTTTTTTATTTCACTTCAATTTTTTGTTTTCTATAATAATAACTGTTAAATAAAAAAATAATAGTTTTAACTAAAAATGGTTAACCAATGTCATTTGGAAGTAGAGGTATTCCTACAAACTTGTTTACACTATACAACCGTACAAATGGTTTAGGCAAGAGGGGGCAATGGGTCTTGGGACTGTGGGTTTGGTCAGTAATCAATTAGAACCAGTTTCTTGTCAGATTATCTTTAAATTTGTACATGTTTTACACACTATGCAAAATAAAAAATAAACTGTAAACTACTGCAATTAAAACTGACTGGTAAAAGTGGACTGATAAGGTGAATGGGGGAAATGTGCAATTTAAAATGTAGTTGAATTGCGTTTTAATTTAGGTGAATTTGTGTGAGAAATGAAAACGGAATGGATTGTCATTAAAGAAAGTCATGTTGTGTTGTAAACTTCACAGTGTGTTTTCCGGGCTGATAAGCGACTCAGCATTATCTGGGCCCATCTCCAACAGCCAAGTACTCAAGGTCCTTTTAAAAATATAGGGACATGCATGTCTCTTATCTGGGGTGGTAATTTGTGTAGGTCAAAGTTAGCCATATAGAACGAGCTTGTACAATTAATTGATTTATACAATAACAATAGGTACTCACAGGCCTGTCTCTACTGCTCTACGGGTCATATTCATGTGTGGTTGGTGTAATTATTAAATCTGAAATTAGTAAAGTGAATGTTTATAAGTTTTTGATGTACAGTTGTCTAATTTATAACAAACCAGATTCTTGAAACAATTTGTCGGTGGGATATAGTTTTGGTTTTTTTAAACTCAATCAATTATCTAGTTTGTTTCATAGTCATTACTAACTTATTTGTTGTATTTGCAGGTTTTGAGCAATATCGAACAATACTTGCAAGAAGAAGAGAGACGGATGATCAAACAAGATCAAGAATGTAAGCTTTATTTTTTCGCTTAGAAATACATTAGGGCTTACTCAACCAATTGATTTGACATAAAATCATTTCTTTCAGGTCTTAGAATGTTGTTGCCAAACAAATGAAAATCTTGGATTCTTTTTTTTCTATTTATTGTTTATTTAAATATGCCTACTGTAATTATTCTTCGTAACTAATATTCTCAATGCAAAATTCGTAATCATCAAACTGAGCTTGAGAGAGTAGTTTTCATGTATGAACGACCTGAGACCTGACTGTTATCCTTTTTCAACTTTGGTGATAATCTTTCCTTTTGCCTCAAAATTGTCAAGTTTCAAAATTTGCTCCCAATTTATTTAGAAACTAAGTAGTACTTTAAATAATGGAAGTCACTGCTAAACTTGAAAAATGTAGCCTATTTCAAACACTTTATCGGAAATTTATCTTTAAAATAATTTGTTATAGAAAAAAAAAACATATTGCGTGTAATGGGCAAATGGAGAACTGTTTGAGAGCAAGGAAAAGTAAATTTAAAGCAAAGGACAATCAGCCGATCCTTTTCCCCTTGTTCTAAGTTGGAGCTTAGGAGAAAGTTATTTTATTTGATATCAGCTGTTATCGAAAGCAGCAAATTTTGTACGTTGTGATGAAAAATAAATTGACTACTATTTCAGGGGCAAAGCTGTCAAAACAAGAGAACCTGAAGGAGATGGGGGACATCTCATCTGGCATGGCCAGTACTGTGATACAACTGTACCTGAAGGAGATTTTAGAGGCTTTCTTGCATCCGAATGTAGGAGTAAGGCAAGCAGCACTAAAGGTCATACAGCTGATCTTATCCCAAGGCTTAGTCCATCCTGTCCAGGTACTACTCACAATCTTAATAAAGTATTGATCAAATGAATATGGACCATTCGTATTTTTTTTTGTATTCACTAATTCAATTCAATTTAATCTCAATCCATAATTGTTCGTACTAGTACAACATTATGGTACAACAAATGGTGGCAACATTCTATATCTATCTAATTGCCAATACAAAATCTCTGACAACTCATAAACATATGTTGTACAGGAATTAAAACTGGTTACAAAATTAAATGAAATGGTTCAAACTTAAAACTAACTAGGTCTATATCTAAAGAAAGCTAAATAAAAATATAAAACAATTTATCTACAAATTTACAACATTCAACCAACAAATTCATCTAGAGAATACAAAGGTTTGACCATGAACATATACGACCCAATTAATGAAAATAAAACAAAAATCTGTTTGGTTGCTAATAGATGTAGAACATTTATCCATGAAACAAAAATTGTGTTTTTCTTTTATTTACTTCAGTCCATTTCCTTTTTAATTTGTTCTGATAAAAAATGTGAATAGTTTTTGTCCCATTTATGAAGCTTTTTCCTCCAAAAAGTATAAGTTTGAGCTGGAATCACCTCAGTTCTGTTCCTGGTATTGTAGCAATGTGATGAACAGTTAGTATTTTGCAGTTTTCCCCAACCAAATCATCATATTAGATTAAATACCCCCCGCTGCAGCAAACCTGCAGACTAAGCCAATTTCCATTTACTGGGCCGGATTTCTACTAAAATATTCCCTTAAAATTGTCAGATTTATTTCCTATTTAAATGCTGTTACACCTTTTCACAGGACTTACAGATATATTGTATCAATATTTATATATAAATAAAACTGTTCAGAATTGATATTTCACAGGACGATCAGTCTGCGTTTGTATTATTCATTCCATTAGACCCACTCTTTTTCAAACTTGTTAGTTGATAGCAAGCAAGTTGGATGTGTTTTATTCACTGAATGGTGTTGTTTCAGATTGTACCATACTTGATCTGTATGAGCACTGATGAGGAGCGTCTTGTAAGTGGAAGTGCTGATAAACAGCTGCAGGAGATTGAGAAAAAGTACCCAGGGTTCATCCATATGAAGGCACAGATGGGCATCAGGCTGTCATACAAGCTGCAGCAGATCTTACAAGCCAAGAATGAAGCAGTACGGGGATTTCGGCTGAAGGAGGGGGAGATGCCTGCAGCCCTCAATGGTTTCCTTTACTCCATCTTGCGCACAAAACAACAACGCCGCGCCCTCACACTGTCAATCCTCAAGCAGTTTGACGAACAAGTGGTAAGATTCTGTCTTTGCATTGTTCATTTAATAGTTATACAAGGAATTGGTAAGTTTTTATCATGACTTTGTTCAAACCATTTATTTTTTCTTTTGCACATGACCAAATCTTTCAAAACTGTAATAATTTTGTATTCAATGATCATTGGTTTTGATAAAATTCTGGAGGTTAACAGCTACTCAAGAATATCAGTCAATATTACCTACATTTGAGAGTGGGCTTTACAGTTAGACAAGTGGCGGCGGGTAGATTAAAATAGTGGGAGGACAAATGCATTTTTTTGGGAGGTTACTGATACCAGGTTAAGGTTAAAAGTTGAAAAAATTGATTTATTTAAATGTTGAATATATTTTTAAGTTTAAACAATATTATATTAATTAACATTTCAAATACCGGGGGCACGGTGAACATAACCTCTAATAATCACTAAAAATACTGCATTCACGTATTTACCTGGTAATATTGTGTTGACAGTCAACAGATCCCAGTGCTCAGCGCTCATTGTGGCAATAGTTAAAACTACTGTTTGTACAGAGTACCAAATGCCCGATATCTATTGCATTGGAGCCTGACGCAGGACTGTGATTGGTTAAAATTTTCCATGCAGTTTATAAGAGTTTGAACTCATATCTACTGAGTCCCCTTGTTCTACCATGTTGCGTCCATTATCACCCGTCCTAAAAACATTGTCCCTTCTAACGTTTATGTACATTAAAATGCCGAAATAACAATCATATTAATGTAAGTTATTATTATTTTACTATTGTCTTTAAAAAGAAACTCCGTCCCAGAGTCCTTATCGACCAGCCACCACTGGGTTAGACCAATGTTCACTCATGATCATTAAGATTTATTCATTATCATCTGCAAAATATTCCTTACTGTAATTATTTTTACTCACTAAAACAAGCATTGAACTTGGTTTTTCATTTGGCTTTGCAGAAAACAAGTTTGTCGCAAATGCTGTTCCTAGCTGACAACATGGCCTACTTCCCTTACCAAGTTCAAGATGAGCCTTTATTCATCATTCACCACATAGACATCATGATCTCTGTCACAGGCACAAACCTTCTCCAGTCCTTCAGAGAGGTAAGTATTGATATTGTAATTCTGACATAGTTATGAGTAAAAACAACTAAGTTTGAATAGCTTTCAATAATGTAAGGGAAACAGTTTTTTTACTTTCATGAATAGTTTATGTAAATTGAAAGATACTAGGGTCTTTTTTAGTGATGTGTTGGTTCCATTTTCTATGTTAATAAAACTGTTAAATAGTTCCGCCTAATAGAGTTTTGGTTTTAAAGTACTGTTTTACATAGAAAAATCTACCACTGTACTGTTTCATAAGCAATAGATTTAATGTTTCAAAACGGCAGAATATAAGAAAATTGAAAGGCAAAACAGTAGTTGGGTGGGAGGGTTTGGTCAATGACCTTGACAGGAGCTAGGCCACAGTGACTCAAGAAGGGCGGGGGGAATGGGTGGGTACGACCTTGAAGCTATATTTAGACTTGCACCACTTCCCTAAAGGGCTGACGAGGAGGGATTCCAATCGCAGATCAATGATACTAAGTTTTTTTTTTGGGGAATTACTTGCCAGGTTTGACTTTTGATTGGTTTTTTCCGCGTATAAACTTTGAATCATCAAAAATATAATTTGAATTAACCCCAATTATTTAACATTGATAGTGTTGATTTTTAACACATATTGCACATTTTAGGATATATTGATTATAGAAGGTAGACACTCTTCCACAGATTATAAGACAAATGAGAATCCACATGAGTAAAATATATTGATTATAGTGTCCAGGTAACCAGACCATTAGATATACAATAATAATACAGTAATATACACTTTCATTAGTGAAACACGTCACTTTGTAGGCTTTGCTTCCAAGCCCCAACTCTGGTACGCCTCAGATAGACCCTGCAACGGGGGCTGTCTTCAGGCTGTTAGATGATGAGGAGGATGAAGATGATGAAGACGTCCTCCTCAGTCGAGTGCCTGACGACGCTGGCACACTGCAGGAGTGTATCACTGCGTCTCAGGGCTGCCATTTGCTTCTTGTCCTCAAACAACACCTCAAGACACTCTACGGATTCAATGACAGGTAACAAACCTCCACATGTGTAGGAATCTATAAGGTTAAGCAATCCTTCAGTGTTTGCTAATGTGATTTTTTATTGTGATAGATATCACATCAGTTAGAATTCATTGTCATTGGCCACTAGAGCTGTTTGATATATTACAGTAGACTCTCGCTCATCCGGATCGGCCTTGTCCGGACTCCCGCTAGTCAGGATCAGCAATCGTGATTTTTTTTAGCGGCACAGTACAGTAGAAGTTTGATTATCCGAGCTAAACGGGACCGAGACTACCTCGGATAATACGTCGGTGAAAATTATTACCGGTGGAACTGCATTTGCCCGGCTATCAATATTGTGGACCTGGGATAAAATTGAAAAAAATGCTATATACAGTACTGTATTTGCTCGATTCTCGATTGTCCGGATTATTCGTAGTTTACCAGTTTCATCACCAGTTTTAACTATCAATTCATTCATATCAGGATGTCCTGGTGCATTGTCTAGTATAAGAAGAGCTTTTGCGGGTAATTTTTTCTTCTTAAGTTCAGCCTTAACTTTTGGAACAAAGCTCTTAGGTACCAGTCATAAAAAATTTCTTTTGTGACCCATGCACGGTTTTGTGACTTGTATTTTACTGGCAGGGATTAAATCTTAACATTCTTAAATGCACATTTTTTAACTGCCTACGAGTAGTTTTAACACTTAAAGCATTAGCACACACCATGAGAGTGATTCAATCTTTTGTAATTTCCTACCAGAAACTTTTTTCTTCTTCACTAATAAAGGTTTGTGTCAGAAGCTGCTGCCAATTTAATCTTGTTTCATCGCCATTAGTTGTTGAGAAACTAAACCAATTTTTTTCATTCAACATCTAAACGAAGTCTTGGATCTCTAATTCGTAAGCAGACACTTTCTCCGTGACAGTAGGAGACACAGGTGATGGAATACGTTAGGAGATGGTGTACAATATTGTATAAACCGATTGTAGTTGGCCTATAGCAATTAATATTTTTAAGAATCAATTGTTTCCAAAGCAACCTGATTTATTTGTCCCAAACCCAAAGGTTTTCTTAGTTGATCCTACTTGAATATAAACAAATCTGGCCTGCAGACTCATAGGCCTAATTTTGCTTCAAATAGATTTTTCGGATCAAAACCCTCCATCCCATCTATTATCGTGTCAATAAAATTTGTCTCAGAAAAAATTTAGGTGTTGTATCTTACAATAATGACTCAATGGCTCTAATGACCTGTTTCAATGCTTGAAATTCCCAAGTTATAATTTAACATTCTTTTACAGCAAAATAACACAGTACTCACCATCAGAAACTGCCAAAGTCTACGAGAAAGCTGTTAACCGGAAGAGCAACTCTAAATTCAACCCTAAAGCAACTCTTCAGAAAATAAAACAAGGAGTTCCGTCATCTAACCTCGACGAACCTGCAAAGAGGGCTTTGATTCAGGAGTATTTGGAGGTAAATTTGGAGAAAGAGATATTATAAAACTAGCCACATTGTGCTCCACTCACAAGTAAAATAATGCAAAACATTTTCCGATAACGCAAATTTGAGTTTGTGTGAACAAAAAATGTACAACTAATCATTACCTTACTGACAGATGAGAGGTAAATAGAATGAACATTTTCTCAATACTCTCAATATAAGTCAAACTCAAAAACTGAACTTAGCTTTGACAATTAATTTGTTATTTTTTCCAAATTTATTTACATAATAGCAAACTTAAGGATTAGAATTAGAATTGTATAATATATTTTGTTTATTTATTTTGTATACACAATCACATTACAGTTCTTGATCACAAAGAGTGTAAAATAATTATGATAGTATCATTAAAATATAGAACTATTACTTTAAATATAAATTTAATGTAGCACGTTAACACGTTAACATTTAACAAATGAGGCATTACTTATAAACATTTTTAAGCCTGATTTAGATAAATTGACAAATAGTTAACAGATTAGATGCAACAGTACAATCTATATTACATTTCCATAGCTTAGTATAAAATGGAAACTGCATAGTCGTGTACATTTAGAATTAATCAATTAAACTTAAAACAGTTTCCATTTTCAAGAGGTTGTGTGTTTGTTCTAGTTCAAGCAACTCATCATGAATCTTGATCCTGATGAGGATGATGAGGAGGAAGGAGGAACTCCTCAAACTCCGGCCAAGGGAGGACACACGACGCGGACATCGCAGGTATCGGACCACGGGACGCCGGGACACACCCACGACACCCGGACTTCTGCTACTGATGACCGGGTCTCAGAACAAACTCCTCACCCGCCACCAGCTGTAAGTTACTTCATCTTAGTAGTTTATGTATTTTTATTTGATGTAGTTTATGTTATAATTTATCAAAAGATGAGTATGTTGATTGTGAAACATCTATGTGCATTGTATGGATGTTATTTCATAAGGTTAAAAGACATTGTCATTTGAAGATATTGTCCTAGGATGAAAATTCCTAAGTTTTTAACACAACCATTTTTTACCAGTAAGGCTATGATTTTTTTGCTGCTTGAGTGTCCTTATACCATTGTTGTTTTAACACGTATGTCTCATTGACATGTATTAGGGGTGTGCGAAGCAGCAAACTTTTTTTATTTGATGCAACAATTGGATTCAAAGAATTATTATGAGGAATTTATGCTTATCGACAAAGGAATAAGAGGAGGCATTTCCCATGTACTAACTTGTTTCTTTGGGGTAAAGAACAAATACATTGATAATGTATCCCCAGATGTCAATATGACTAATCATATCTCAGAATCTAATTAATTATTTAATGTACTTTGATATAAATAACTGATATAGCATAGCTATGCAATATCTCAGTGTATGCCTTATAATCGGCCTCTTCCCCCATGAATCCAATTGTGTTTTTGATTACCAACCAAATCAGAATCACAATTCATTTTTGATGCATCGCACATGCCTAATTAGTATATCTCTTTGCATATTTCTATTACTTTACTGTTGGTTTTGTCACAGGAAGCCACCCCGCCCCCGAGAGTCCCCAAGCTGACAATTGTCCCGCCAAAACCACCGGATGGAAAACACGTTCACCATCATCGTTCCCACAAGACCCGCAAGACTGAACGACACAAAAAACACCACCACAAGAGGAAGAAGTCCAAGCTGAGAAGTTCGGAAGACGAAAGTGACAATGATTACAGTGACCCTGACTTTCTAGTGTAGGAACACATTCCAGTGCAGGTGGCATCGGTACAGTGCACAAACATAAACACAAACTATTTCAGTGTTGCTTAGAGTGCGATGCCAGACACCAACACTCATGTCTTGTAGAAAGTTAAGTATTTTCGTATTTCGGGTCTCCAAAGAAATTTTTATTACCGATTGTAACTGTGAGGGTTCATTATAAATTGGTATATTTTGGATATATATATATACGGTATATATATCTTATTATCGATAATGTTAATAGTAATTAATCGACTGTACATTATTTATTTATACGTCGAGTACTGGAAAGTCTCGGATCGCAATTTTCAGTACATAGTCAACCTCGTAGTACGAATTGTAAATTAAGAATTTATATTTGCCTTTGCGTTCTAACTGGCCTTTAGTTCGTTTAAAACATTGATTTATATTTTATAATTATATTATTTTAAAATAAAAATGAATAGAGGTGTGCGGATAGTGAAATTTCAGTTGAATTCAATTGACTTTTATTTGACCTGGGGTAGTTATTTTCTGCTTTATTTCTGTTTGATCCAGATCAATCGAATCGTAAACAGCCGATACAAAACTGAATGAAATATCGGTATTGCATCATACAGCTTCTTCTTTGAGCTCCCGAATATTTTAGGCTTGGCAAAAGTAAAACTCAAAAAAGAAAATATTAAATACAAGGTTAAATTTAATGTTTGGTGTTACTTTGAATGTTAATATTTAACTTCACTGCCCTTTGTTATGTGTCTAATGTGTCGATGGTGTATTTAAAGTAACCGTCTTGTTTTTGATTCATCAGATTGCAGTACCGCATGTTACATTAGTATATCAATTGTTAATACAGTTTTATTGTTTATTCAATTATTTTTCACAGTGCATATGAATGTTTTGATACTTGTAGTCATAGAGAACTCGTTGACCGCTGTTAGGTTGTTGGAAACGTTATGCTGTAATTTAGTCCTGGGTAGTTAAATTAATGTGGGTTATGAAGATTTTTTTCTGTACAAAATATCAAAATACATAGTCTATTTGAAAAAGTTGAATATCTAGGTGTCGGTTACCAAATTTGAACCGAATCCGACCCAATTTTCTTGGATGTTCGCACACCTCTAAAAATCAATACTCACTCAAGTTTCAACAATGTACGTTTTGCACATTCGATCACTTTTGTTTTATATAAAAAATTATTTATTATTATAATTTAAAAAGTTAATTTTTTTTTTATACAACACATAATAAAGGCAATCAAGCAAATTGAGAAAGCAACAACTAAACGAATAATTTGTTAAACATAAAGAATATTATACATTAGAGTTTCACTGAGATAATGATTATATTCCAATATTAAGATATTATTCTTGATTTTGTTTAAATTCATGGCATAATTTCACCAAAAGCCTGATTATAAGCATATTCCTATTGAAATTGACTGCTACACACAGAAATTACTGATTTTCAGTGAGTTGTATTGTTGAACAATAAATTGGCTTAGTGCAAACTTACTTAAGTGTATTAATTAACAAACTAAGCAACTCGTTATGGATGATAATAAACCAATTGTTTTGACTCTTGGTAAATACTATTTGTAATGTTGGTGAACTTTTGCCCCAAATCATTGTCATGTTAACTGAACTGGGTAGAGATTGAGATTGCCTTACTGAAATTCTGTTGTTTTGTTCAGTTGTTGGAAGTTATTTTGTAATCACTTATTCTTGCTAAATATAAAAAAAACATAATGTATATAATAAAGAAATTAATTTTGGCATCATGTAAAATAAGCTGACAGTCTCAAGAACATAATCTTATCTCAGTGTAAAACTTCATTCTTTTATTCCCTTTATAATCAATGTATTTGTCAAAGAAGGTTTTGTTTCAGGTTGAACATTTTGTACAAAACAGTTAGTTCAAAGTTGTTACACAGGAAGTGGTTTAGTTTTAATGATCGATGGACTTGCTGCATATGCTGGTACACTGTTGGAAAGGTAGTTTAGTTGGTGTCAGAATTCTTGGATCATAATATGCTGTATAAATCTCTTGTTAAAGTTGTTTGTAAGTTAAAATGAAAACAATCTCAAAGTGTTAAGTGGAAAGCAAACTGGGAGGATCAGTTTCACAAGGCCAATATTTACTTTTGTTTGTTTTTTTATGTTATCTCTGCTTAATTTCTCAATGGACAGAAAAAGACTTGGATCGAAAAATTTTACTACTGGAATCACGTAAGTTAATATGTTTACCTTTTACTATTTTTACTGGTTTAAAAGTTTTGGTTCTACAGTGGTGGCTTGATGAGTGGAAATTTAATGGGCTGAATGAACTGTGACAGTAGAATGATTCATATTAATTTGAGCACTCTTTCTGGATAAAAAAAATGTTTTAATTTCAAATTTTTAGTCATCTTAGGAACAGGGTATGGTGCAAAATGTTTCCATGTGTTCTGTTCAGAAGATATGAGGAATTGTATAAATAAAGGGAATGGGGTTTTAAAAATAAAATTTGTGATTATTTTACTCAAGTATATTGCTCTCTCAAGCCACTACATAAAGGTACAACTAGAGTTTTATCAGTAGGCAGATAAAGCAAAGAAAAGAATAACATATTATAATAAAGAAATACATAATAATAGATTGTAATGAAATATGTAAGAACGTATCATAATGAAACACATAATAATGGGTTGTAATGAAATTCCTATCATAATGAAATACATAATAACCGATTGTAATGAAATTTGTAAGAACGTATCATAATGAAACACATAATAATGGGTTGTAATGAAATACATAATAATGGGTTGTAATGAAATACATAATAACAGATTGTCATGAAATACATAATAACAGATTGTAATGAAATACATAATAACAGATTGTAATGAAATACATAATAACAGATTGTAATGAAATACATAATAACAGATTGTAATGAAATACATAATAACGGATTGTAATGAAATTCGAAAGAACGTATCATAATGAAATACATAATAATAGATTGTAATCAAATTCGTGAGCTGGTATCTAGGGGTCTATGGTACAAAAAATTTAAGGTCGGTACGGTATTTTTTATTTTGTATCTTGGTTCTCGCTACAAAAACGGTATGCGGCTACGAGTATTTTTGCCGTTTTCTTTTCAGGATTGTATTTAAACCATTTTGAACTTTAATACATTCACATTACAATGAAAATGGATAGTATCTTACAATATGGTTTCCTAACAATTACAGTACAAGGTAATTATTTAAACCCTTGACTCATAACAGGATTGTGGCAAGAAAAAAACACAGTTAAGATAAAGGCTTTACTTTACTACTACCCATTTTACTACTAAGATAAGTCATGGCCATGATAAAGTGGTTTTAATATTGGTTTCAGAATTTTTAGGAATACACATGTTTAAAGAAACAATTTAATTTAACACAACTTGTAACTTTTTTCCAACCAGCACAATAACTGGGTGATTAATTTAAATGTTTAAAAATATTAAATAATATCAATTGAAAATGTTCCACAATTTCTACAATGTGTTCCGGTTACTAACTTATAGTAAGTTATTAATAGTAGTATTCTCGCAAATGAGTTTACATATGAACTTAATATGCTGTTATGCCATGTAAAAAGAATTATAACAGATGGGATTATGACAAATGGGACTCTCCTTCCTGAGGAGTATGTTTAATCCATGCTAAAGACTGTGAAGTGCAATTCTAACCTCATAGCTGACTTTGTCGGCTGCTAGGGTACTGCATGTTTTGCAATTAACAAATTGGTCGTGTCCCTGTTTCATATTACATTTATGGGTTGTCTAATAATGTGTGACGATGATTTAATTCACATAAAATATAAGCTAAAATAACAAAAAGGGAACAAGGTAATATAATGAAACGACACACATAATAATACTGTGAATGTATTTATATTTAATATTCCTTAGATAATCCATTCAAAAAACTCTTGCTTTCATCGCTCTGCTACAAAAATCTATTGTGCAATCTGGCATGTTTCGTTAGATTTACTATTTGACTTGAGAAAAAATACGTTTTGACTATGTTAATGAATTGAAAGTAATTGATAATTATTTTTATAGGATGTACCAAACCAAAATCCTACCGGGTAAAATGCTCTGCGGGATGGCGGTAATTATGCTAGAACCGTACCGTACCGACATTTTTTGTGCAGACCCCTACCGGTATCATAATGAAATAAATAATAAAGAAGTATCATAATAATATACATAATATTAACATAAATTCAATAAGAATGTGCCATAAGAAGGACTACCAAAACCTAGGCTGGAAAACACTTAATTTATTTTTTATATATTTTTTTATTTGTTTATTACTTTTCAGGTTTTAACAATAATCAATGTTATTTGAGTTGATAAAATGTTGTTGCTGAGTTCATATTTTATTCTATGTTTAGGGTTATGTTTTTTTTAAATGTACTTACGATTATCTGTACAATTGTTAAAACTGAGATTGAAGGTTTTATTAAATTAAGTTATGCATAAAGCTAGATTAAAGCTATCCAGTTTTGCATCAGTCATGAAATGATACTAATTGGGTGTTGGTTTTGTTTTTGTGATAAAGTATTATTAATGTCAGCTTACTTCAATTACACTGATTAAACAATTGTATTTGGATATTACTGATAAAATATTTTGTATATTTGGTTAGACTATATGCAATTAATTATCATAATGTATCAATGGCAAGTAATTGTAAAATTTGGCTGTTTCAAGAGTTTTCACTTGATTGTATTATTACAGTTTTTTTTATGTTTACTGCAATGATTGTGATGGGAGAAGCTCTACAACCTTGCAAATGTGTGACCTCTGAACAGAAGAAGTTTTTAATTTGGACTGAAGTCAGTTTTCACTCCTCAAGCTTTAGTTTTTTCTCAGAAGCTTACTTGATAAATTTTATGTTACTTTATGTTACAAGTTTTGTTGTGTTCCAGTGTTCTTTTTTGTTATTATTAGCATAATAAATTATTTTTTTCATAGACTGGTATTTATAGCATTATGTCGTTATTGTAGTATTTTATTTTATACCATGATATACATAATTTCATTTCTACTGTCCACCGATTCATTTCACAACGGGGTATTGAATCTATTGATTACCGACACTTAATTCTCTCTACACTAATTGGAAAAAAAATTGTAGTATGAAATCGGCTTTAAAAACAAAACACATCTTGTGAATGTGATTGAGATGAAATGATTTTGATTGTGATGTTTTGAACCGACAAAATCTTTAACATTTTAGTTTTAAAATACAAGTTTAAAAGTGTATTGTGGAAGGGTTTCTTCAAACATCTCCTTTATGAGAAGGGAGCTGCAATTATATTATCTTAGATAGTTAAAATAATACTTTAAAGATAAAAAAATATCATAGCCTGTAAATTATTTGAACACCCCCATTTTAGCAAATTTCCCTATAGGGAAGTATAGCTATTACCGTAGGTGGCACAGTGAGACCGGCATCCATATACTTTTTCATTTTGATGTCTCTAGAGGCAAAAAACACGATTTGTTCAAATTTTTATACATGTATATATAACAAATTGTATATATATATAATATATATGTATATATATGTATTAAAATTGGTTTTTCTTGTTTTTTACCCTCAAAACATAAAATTTATCAATTCCTCTCTAGACCATTTTGAAGAGCTTAAAAAACAAATAATTTAGTACATTAAAGTGTTTTTGTACTGTTATTGGAAACATAGAAATCTCAAAAAATTGAAAATTCCCATGTTATTAAGTTAACTGTTGTAGTTTGCATAGTGGATATATTTTTATCAAACTTCCCAAATATATTTATTTTTTACTAAGCTATTAATGTTTTACTTAACAAACACACTGTACTACCTTCCCTATAGCAGCAAACCTAGGTACTCGTTAAACCTAATGTTATTGAAATAGAATTAACTAAACATTAAATCAGGCAAATGGAAATTCGCTTAGTCTGCAGGTTTGCTGCGGCGGGGGTATTTTTAACATTTACTAGCTATGATATGCACATAAAATTAATTGCTCTGTAAGTTTATCTTGGGTTGATTTAAATTTGTTTGAGGAGAGAATCAAACTTCAACTATATGTATTGCATTAGTATTAATTTAATATGGCTTTGGTTACAAGTTTTTTTTATTCTCCTAAAAAAAAATAGTTCACTCACAAAATGTCATAGATAATTTATCATTCTTATATAAATTGGAATGGATTTCAGTAAATAAAGTCTGCAGTGGTTGGACAATTTTTTTCCATTCCAATCTTTTGTTCAAAATTCAACTTTAATTCACAAGCTAACATCGGTTAATAGTGTGCTGCTTACACCTGGTTTGTTCAATACGGTCATTTCATCTCTTACACTTCACCTAAGTCGTTGTTGAGATTTATTTTTTGTATAAAAAAGCTGTGTGTATTTTCACTTGGTTTTATTGTAACATATCTGATGTTTTGTATTTTCAAAATGATATGTAAATGTAAAGTGTAATTTATTCTATATCTAAAATATAAATATAGATTTCAATGACACATTGTATTTAAATGAATAGTTTTGAATAGTTGTTTATTCAGTTATTTATACCTGCCTATTAAAAGAACTAAACGACAGTTGACATTTTTGTGTTTGTAAATTTCTACTTGCCCCACCTTTTCCTTAATGTTATTCAATGTTCTTTTAGTGTCAGAGTGACATTTGAACCTGGTGTTAATCAACAATTCAGGAATGCATGTATTAAATCTAAAAGCTGTGCAATAATCAAATTAAATACTGCCATCTAACTGTGTCACAGCAGTAGCATATGGAGCATAACCAATATGTCATACCAATATTAATGCAGCAAGATTAGTAAAAATCACAGTTCAATCTGTATTTGCCATTTTTAACAGTATTGTTGCCATCATAAACCACAAGACGCCACAAATTAGTTGTTTTCTACTAAGAATTTGTATAAATATATATATATGTATTAAAATTTAAAAGGTATTAAAAGGTACTGAGGGGTGCATCTACAATCCCATGTCCTCTCATCGCCCTAGAAATAGCTTTTCCAGTCATCATATATACATCATTCTGGGAAAACAAGAAAATGTTAAGTGACATTTACAAATTATCAAGTATTCCGCAGTTTATTAATTTTATAAAATATACTTTTGTTGTGATCAACAGTTGCTTTAACATTCAGAGCCATTATTTTCACCATTAAACAGTGGCCCTGGCCCTAGGGAGAAAACAAATAATAAATAAAGAGTTGGAATTGAACTTGAATTTGAACTCTTGCGGTCCTTTTTGAACCGGAATGATGTCAAACTTCGCCCCAGGCCCCCTAGCTGTTAGTCGTCATTAGTAGATTATAGTTACAATATTATAGTAGTAGAGTATAGTAGACCTAGTTATATTACAGGAAGAGGTGCAATTTTTGGAAAACGCTCTAGAAGGTTTTGTAGAAAGATTTAAATCCTAACCACCAAAATCTCATAAAACAAAGACTCATAACTGTGAAAGATTTCAAGTACTTACAACGATGAAAGACAGTGGTTCAAGAACTGCCGGGGGTTCCAATTATTCGTTGAGGAGGGAGGGTTAGTACCTCGGTCAAGATTTTCCGTTAAATGTAATAAGTCCAATAATTAATTTTAAAAAATAAAAACACCTCAAAATTCCAGGAATTTCATAGAAAACTAGAATACTGATACTCTTAAGGTACTGAGGGGTGCATCTACAATCCCATGTCCTCTCATCGCCCTAGAAATAGCTTTTCCAGTCATCATATATACCACAGTATTCGATCTATAGATTTCCTCAAGAATTTAAAATAATCCTAATCCATTAATGAGAGTGCCAATTGAGCCCAATATATTCATCAGCGTAATGAAATGTTCCAAGCATTAAAGTAATGTCTTAAGCTCGTTTTGAGTGTTAATGATTTAAAAAAGCTTTCAAAAACAAGGTCTGATAAAAAGTAACTACACATGGAAAACCATGGTTTTATGCTAATTTATTAAGGTATGTTATGTAGAAAAGATACAACTCATGTCTCCTGCTGCTATATTAATTACAGGAAGAAATGAAATGGAAGATGTCCCTGGGTGTGTAACATCAGATTTTTAAACATTAAGGCTACGGCCACACGGGCGTTTTTTCACGCAAGAACGCAGCGTGAAAAAACGCAAGAAATATGAGCAGCATTAAATGTAATGAGGTATGCCACACACAGTGTGTTTTCCCGCAGTAGCGGGCGCCTATTTGTTTCAATGCTACTCTAATTTTTCGCGTGTTTTCACTCTGCGTTTGTGCGTGAAAAAAACGCCCGTGTGGCCGCAGCCTAATAAGAAGCAATTTGTACAGTGCATGTATCACTCAAACATACAGTCGGTTCCTAGATTTGGCAAGTTTTAAAGCTGAGAAGAGAAATAGTTTTTTTTTTCATAGATAACTAAATGGTACCCAGATAAGCAATATAACAAAAACTCATAGGTAACTATAACATATTTTATTGAATTTAACAAAACATACATAGGAATTAATTATATCATTGCTACACATTATTTTAAACTAAATACAAAAGAGCTCATGAAATGCAGTTAACAAATAAATGAACAATACTTTAACCCTTTGCGGGAGCTCAACTCTCCGTGTACAGCACCTAAGGGCTGAGGTTACAAGGAATAAGTTAACCCAATTTTTAATAAAGCTATTTTATGTACGATTCCACATGCAATAAACCATACATTTATGGAAACTTTGGTTATAGAAACTCATCAGAAGCGTTCATACACATTCTAGCATCTCTTTAAAGCACAATTAGCAAACACAGGTCAGTGTCTTAGAGCCACATCCCCTGTCTTTGATCCGCAAAGGGCAAGCTTACAGAACTATATTAAAAACAAAATATAAAAACAATCAGGAATATTTAGAAAAATTAATTCTTACTCTAGGTATTTTACATAATAATGTATCACTTCACACCGAAACACAGCGTGCTGTTTCGTGCAGTACAAAAAATATTGTAACGATTATATAAATATGAAAAATATGAATTCATTCAAATAAGGAATATAGATTAAAATGCACAGTCATTTGGTATGTTTGGAGGTTTTGTAGGTACTACGAAACTCCGACGTTCAAGAGGTCAAAACAGACAGTGCAGACTCTTACAGCTTTATGAAGGTTGAACTTCATGATTGCAACTTCTTGGGAAGAACACTTGCTACAGAGAAGTCTGCCACAGTGTCGACTGAAACATATATTTGATTACTTTTTAAACATATATTTATTTACTTATCCAACAAGGATAGATTTAAATTCACAGAGTGCTATTGATAACATTATAAGTAAAAATAGAGAATATAAATTGTAAAATTACAGGTATCGTACATAGTTGGGAAAGTTAGTCAAAAATTCTAACTAGTTAGAAGTTATTAGTTAGTCCCGTAAAAAGTAACTGATGGAAGTTATTAGTTAGTTGAAAAACTAACTGATAGAAAATAAAGTTAGTTTTTGTACGAGTCAGATGTTTGTTGGGTAGTTTTTGTAAAGGATTTCGTATGTAATTAAATAATGACACATCTTGATAACTAATCTATACTATAATATAAGTAAAGTTTGCACACAATGATTTAAAAAACGCCTCCTACAATTTCCTCCAAATTGTTAGAAATGGAAATGTCTTAGTTTTAGGCTAAAAACAATATCCATGCCAGGTTCTGTTCTAGAAAAATTCATTTTTCATTAAAAAATTAAAAACTTTTTTAATATTTTAAATATTTATCTTATATAGACTGTCAAAAAATGACAGTCTTATCAGCTATGACAGTGTTAAAAAATGTAAACAAATGGATTGTCACATCAGCTTGTAACAAATCATCTACAGTACAGTAGCAAATTACAAAATACAGTACAAAGGAAAAAGAATGCTATGAATTCTATGAATGCTATTGAGCATTGCTTATATAATACATTTGGATTGTATGATGTATTACTAACTAAAGGGATAATTAAGACTGTTCAAAAACATTAAGTATTTAACAGCAACGCATTATACACTGATATTGAACTAAAAGTCTAAAGAAAAAAGGCTAAGGACGTTTTATAGTTTTTGACGATGCGCCGCACGAATTGATGCGTTATTACACCATCCCGTAATGTAATTATAGTTGTGACGTTCCGCGATCCCAGTGACTAACGCAATAACGGTCATCAGATAACAGATGTTTTGTATCATGAGTTTTGTATTGAAGCTACCAATTATATCATTACCTAATGATAATTTTGTTTTCTTTTTATAAAATTCTAGATAGTCTATCAATTTGAGTTTGAAAACGAGTGTTATAATTATGACTAATTATGTTTATCTTAACTTTTTAAACAATTAATAATCACTACGTTCCTTCCGATTTAGTTTTTGTTAATAATTGTTAAACAGTCATACCAATGGTGTTTCCTCATGGTAAGTCCGAACTTGGTTCCGCATTCCAGACAAATGTCGCCTTCTACCCACGGAGGTTCTTGTGATAGATTGTCTAGTAGTCTGGATAAAAAATAAAATCTTAGTCAAAAAACATAAATAAATATACAAATATAGTTTGCCAGGAATATACTTGGCCTGAGAGAGGTGGGTTTTGGAGCCACAAAAATCTTCAGCTAAGTAAATTTTTAAAAGAAA